TGGGTTCAGCGGCCTCATTACATGGTTCCAGTCATTTAGCGAGGACCAATTACACGGCGAGAACGGATGTCGGAGCACCAGCCAAATAAATAAGAAATGATATTAATTACCGAGGACCCGCCGAAAGGCAAGACTAACATGGCGACGCAATCGGTTCTTGTGGAATTTTTCGTGAGGTTGTAATTACTGGTCTTGAAGATTCATTTATTTAAGGATAAATACTTTTAAGAGAGATGATGATCTAAAAATATACCAAAAATAATTATCTTCTATTCCAGTGGAGATTGCTAATTAACTTTATTATTGTTTTTATTTTAGTAGTAATCGGACAGTCATTTTCTAAATATCTACTGTCTGTTTAAACCTCAACCTGAGTTTTTTCACTTTGTCAGCAAAATGCGCAAATATTTTAAATGCTACAGGCATTTAAACATTAAAACATTCGTATAAAACAAACTTAACCACCCAAAAACTCTTTCCTCGTATTTTTGCCGTTTCGAGCTACAAACAAAATAAAGAAAAAATCTATTGTCCACTGTCGGTTATTTTGTAGGCTGTAACATTTATACGATCATAAAACGCATACCGGGTTGTACAAGGCACGTTATTTAGTGGCGCTAGTGTTGCGGTCCCATGGTGTAATGGTTAGCACTTTGGACTTTGAATCCAACGATCCGAGTTCAAATCTCGGTGGGACCTGAAATAATTAGTCCGTTTTTTAAATATGTGTAACTGAAATTCGTTTACTAAAACATTTTAGTACATACATCAAATCGTTTTTATGAGTCAAATGTTCAAATATTTTCCCGCTTTTATTTATTATTATATTTGAACATATTTTTTTTGCTAAAGCGTCGCTCACGATCTTATAAATGCAATCCAATCTTTTTAAATTCATTGAGCGTTTATTAATTAATGCATCAGAACGGTTTCTTGAAAAATTGCCTGTTTTTCAAGCCTACGTCCACATAAGATAGTTAGTTGTTGGAGAGCTTTCTTTCATCTACATAAGTTAAGTCGATAAATTTATTATGTATATTAAATAGAATGTCTTTTCCGCTTTACTATTTATTAATAAAGAAGATATTAAAAGCGTAGATAGTTTATATTATAATTAAGTAATATTTGCTTTTTTTATTTTAATACAGTTTTACCGTAGAGTATCCCAATTATAAATATTTGAGAAGCAGAAAAGGTGTGAAATTTATGCAGTTAAATCAATAAACTTTAATATTTTTAATGACGGAACATCTAAATATTATAGCTTATTCCATATATGCATACTAGTCTAAAGTTGGAAAAATCATAGCCATTATTACCATGGGTTAATACTGAAGAACGGGTCTATATTGGTTTATGATTAATCTCGTCGTGAAAGTCATAAAAAATATATGCTACGTATGTTTCTCATATCAAAATTAAGAAATAAAGTATCCACGTAAAAGTCAAAGTATATTTATTTCTCTTTAAAAGATGTGACGTGGATATTAGCGTAGCTATAACAGATTGCCATCCGCAGGCGGTTCTCATCCCACAAAGTGGCGAAAGCTTTGTTCCCATAGAGCCAAGCAAAAATCGCAATGAATTATTGGCGTTTCAACGTCATTGTATGTGCGGATATGATTAATGTCAATGTAACGGGAATATGGTACATGCTGCGCGCTGAAACCTTCATTCATCACAATAATAAGATTATATTAGTTGTAGAAGCAAAAGAATATAAGTGATGCCTAAGAATCTATAGACATTGAATTTCTGCATCGCCGGCTGCGGGTTAATTAATTAGGAATTGTAAATAATTTTCTACTTTAAAAATTATGATTTTTAAAAATTTTGATTTTGAAAATAAATCGTTTTTGGAGAAACAAAAATAGGAGCCTTCTGGTTTGATTTAAATTATAAAGTAGGAATAAAAAGAAATACAAAAATTATGAGAAGTTATATTGAAAGTCAATAACTATTTAATTTAAAATAAGTTTTGAAATTCAATAATTTCAAAACTTGATGACAATTCATATGCCAGATTATTTAAATATTAAACTGTTTGAAACTGTTTGAATATGAAAAAAATATGAAATATGAAGCTGGCATGCTCGTCTAGTGAATTCCCCGCTTAGTATTGATGTGGCCGATGATGGATAAATGGTTTTAACCATATTTTTCCTTAATTTCAGAGTGAGTACCGGTTCGCGGGTGGGGGGTATCCTCGAGCTAGCAGCGGTGGTGGTCGCAGTAGCAGTGGCCTGTGCTCTGCCGCGCTGGTGGGCGGGGCACTACTGGCTGCCTTCGCTGTGCTGGCGGTAGCCGCACTGGCTTTTTATATGGGCGCGCTGCGACCCGACAATGGTGAACGTAAGTATCTTCGATTTATCGTAATTAACGAAACGCCATTTTTACTTATTGTAATAGGGATGATGGTCAAGTAATTAAAATATATTTTATCCCTCACTCAAATAATTGAAAAATATTAGATACGTGTTTTTTTGCTTCTTTAATCAAAATAATAGGCAATTAAAGTTAAGTGAGGGCTGGTTACGTCACGACTATTAAGAAAATTTGCATGTGTGTCGTCATACGACATTTCAACTCAATTTATCGCTGTAATGTAATGATTACGAAAAATTAAGTGTTTAAAAATCTTCAATAATCTACCTGACGGAATAACAAAAGTTTACCTACATGTTGTCACCTTTTCATACAGGAATTACTGAGTATATTTTTCAATGCACGAAACTATTATCTAGAAATACCGAATCATAAATCCGCACAGGTCACATATCCACACAAAGAAATTACGAGCCGACACTATCGTACTTACTATATCTCGCTTGTTTGAATATTTTTTTTTTACTAAAACATAAAACTTCAATAAAACATACAAATAAAATACAAAAATACTACTAAATTATGAAGACCAACGGGTAACAGTAAATATATACTATTAATATTTCCCTGTATTTCCGAATGTACTTGACAGTACAATATAATACTAATGCTGGCAAATTTTCGTAGAAAAGTCAAATAAGAAAATCCTTTACTTCTTACTAATACATTTGTAGATTATCCTCTGACAGGTCGGATTGAATAAAGCTCAGAGTTCAAATTTTATGTTGTTTTTTTCAGCAATGATGACATTTGAAGGCTCTTTCCGTGTCACACGTGGAGACGTATACGGTGGAGCACCTAACAGCCCTGCGTGGCGTGAGCGGGCTCGCCGCTACGGCACAGCGCTGAGACAAGTCTACAATGGCCCTACGCCCTTAAGGCAGGCTTTTGCTGGCGCCCTTGTCACGGGTTTCGGTGACAGACGACTCGACGTTTATTTTAGACTTTATTTAGACAGAAGAAAAATACCAAGGTATATAATTATTGTCTTAAATATGTTGTTACCTCCTTTAAGTACTAGATGCATATTATTAATTCAATTTAATTATTTCTTTTAGCACGGTCACGAATATAGAAGAAACACTAAAAAATGTTTTAGTGCAAGATATAATGTCAAAACATTCCGCCTTTGGACAAACTGTAAAAGTAGATACATCGAGTATAGTTATAAAACGAGACTTGGAACACACGTATCATTCAGAATCATATGTCAAAGAAGCCATGAATGAAAGTATGTCTACGAATTATCCAAAGACTTTGTCGCCCCAAAATGGGAAAGATAAACCAATTCAAACACGACTTGGCGTTGTCAAGAAGACTACAGTGAAACCAAATCAAGCAGGCAAAAAAGAAGACAGTGATGAGCCTGAAATAGATCTCGAAAATATTCCTGTGGTACAAGGTACTTTTCAAATTACAAAAACAGAGGCAGACATAACAGAAAATAAAAAAGCTTCGAATCCCGTCCGACCTAGTCATAAACCTGTTTCTACTGTAAAAGCTAGTATAACAACAAAGGCTCCTCTAACAAAATCTTCAACATTCAAAACTACGACTACAAGGAAAATCCCGACAACAACGCCGAAAAGTCGACCATTTACGATAACATCTACATTGAACGTAAAAACAAAAACAGAACCTACTCCAAAAAAGGATGATTTAATAAAATCTACTTTGGCATCATTTACGTCAACAACATCTGCGCCTCCTAAGGCCAACGTAAGTACTAGTAAAAGTTCTAATAATGTATCGCAAATATTACTTGACCTTCTTACAAATGAGAACCATTATAAAGACTTACCAAAAATAGATACGCTTTTTACTGTTCCACATGTAATTGATAACGAACCATGGAGACCTATAACAAGACCATACTATGAATTAACCAGTCAAAAGTCACCAGTAGTTACTGAAGTTACCAGTGACATTAATGCTGAGGACAGGATTGGAGTAGCCGAGGTTGTAGATGATGCATCTATTTTAGAAACTATGTTGACACCAATACCACCTGTTAAAAAAAGAGATAAAACGACTCATAAGCCTATTTATAATATAAACCCTGATTTGGGAGCAGAGGTTTATGTGCCAAGTCCTGTTTATACAAGCTTTACGTTACCAACGTATGCTCCACCACTAAAAAATATGGAGACATTAGGATCCGGCTATGTAAAACCACATCCGATCCCTGTAGACAAAATCAGTTCTGTAGTTGAAGTGCATCCTGAAACTTATTCAGATGATGAAGATGATGGAAAACCGGTACAAAGGCCACCAAAAGATAAAATTACTTCTGTAATTGTGAATGTAGCAAACCAAGACACTAGCACAGAAAAAATTGCATTTGATGGAGTTTCAATTATCAAAAAACCCAATAACACAAAAACAATATCTACTCCAACAACAACCACTAGCACTACTTCCACCAGCACAACTATTTCAACTACGACAACTATTGCTACTTCTACCAAATTAATAACTTCAGACGTTGATTCAAAACATGATAATGATACTTATCTTGAAGAAGAATCCAATAAAAACACTAACAAAGAAATTGTTACCAAACGTCCTAATAACAAAGTTTCTATTATACCTACTACAAGTGGACCCCTTCATACCTGGGAGTTAGTTAATACATCCACTAACGACAATGATACCTTTAACAAAAACTTAAAAACAGAGAAATACTACAATGATACATTACAGGCAATAATAACAAAAAATGATGCACTTTTTCCAAATACAACGCCTCGATTTCAAAGCAAAGTCTCTATTTTAAGGAACTTAACTGAAATTATTAAAAAATATTCTCAAAATACTACCGATAAACCATTGAAACAAACAGAAAGTACTGAAAAACCTGAGGAACGTCATGGTACCAATAAAATGACAGGATCGGTTGAAGTGGTTCTTGAGGATGAAATTCAAACTACTACTGCAAATGTCATTACATTATTACCAGCTAAATCTAATTTAAGTGGAAACCGCCCGCTGAGACCGCGACCAAAAATAAAATCAACATCACAAAACACAAAGGAGAGTTTACGAAGCTTCATTAACGGTGATTTAAACACACAAAAAATAAATAACGGTCTTAGCACAGAACATTATGAAGCTGTTGACTCACATAATTCAGAAATTATAACATACTCTCCACTAGCTGAAGCGGAAACTGTAGACGTATTTACAACAGTCGCTGATAGTATGAGAGTAACATCCGAGAATGTTCCAAGTAATAATCGACTACCTAAAAAAAGCGAAGATTTGAATTCTGAAGATTCAAACAACATTCAAGTGACGAATGTACCTGAGGGTACATATAGAGTCTCTTATCATGTAACGGGAAGCGTAAGCAGTAAACAGGCAAATAAGACACAAAGTTTGCCTGCATACGAGCTTGCTCTGGAACCAGATGTAGTATTAGAAATCCCATACAACCAATCTAATACGTTAACGATAGACAAACTCAAACAACTTGCTAGTTTAGCAACTATATCCGATTCCAATAATAATACTTTGTTTCGGTCGCCTGGGGGAGTTATATCCACGAAGGCTATCCCATCGAGCTATACACTAAACCAGGCTGGATTTAAGATATTAACAAAAACATATAACAAAGCTCCACCATCTAAAGAAGAAGAAAATGGGCTTAGTAAACCTGAAAAAACATATAATAAATCAAGTTTTGTGAATAAAGTAACAGTAGAAAAGGACTACACAAAAGAAATTGTTAAAGGTGAGAAAACAAAAGAAGTTGAAGTTGATTACTCTGTTATCTATGAAAATATAAATACTTAGATGTTATTTTCTTTTAGAGCAATGTGACAATGCAACATCATTTCGGTGTACATCTGGTTCCTGCTTACCACTCACGTCTCGATGTAACCGACTATTAGACTGCCCTAATGGAGAAGACGAGCATGCTTGTACTTGCGCGGACTACTTGCGAGCAGAGTTTTCACAGTCTAAAATTTGTGACGGAATCGTCGATTGCTGGGACTATACGGATGAAAATAAATGTGGTAAGGAACAGAGATTTCGCATGATATAAAAATATTAACTCTCAATCCAAAACATTAGCAAACCTACTGAAATATTAATAATTTTGGGGTAAACTTGAAATTGCATGATAACATTTATTTTTGTTTCAGAGTGGTGCGAAGAAGGACAATATGTTTGTGCAAATGCGAAACAATGTGTCGATAAGAATCGTGTATGTGATGGAAATCCAGACTGTCCGCTTGGCGATGATGAAAAAAGTTGTGTTGCTCTTGCTGATGAGTTAGAGGACAACGAAGTCATCCCATACAACGAAGAAGGTATAAAATTAAGTTCTAATTAATTATCTACTAAATTATTTTAGAATACATAGTTTTAATCTCTTTTTCAGGTTTTGTTATGGTGCGGAAACGTGGTGTATGGGGTCGCCTGTGCGTAGACAGTTTCGCGGACGTGGTAGATGAAGCTCATAGTTCATTAAAATTACCTGATTTAGGAAAAGCTGTTTGCCGAGCTATGACATATCAGTAAGTTTTATAATTTACCTAAAATACCTATGTAGATAGCGTATTCAATATTAACTTTGTAAGCTGCGTTCATGCAAGCAGCAAACAGGTTATGATTGAAAAAAGTTAACAATGTTTGCTATGTCTATCAGTTACATAAAATGAGAATTTCGATTGAACAGTGACTCACCATGGACCAGAGAAGCGCGGGAAGGTCGCAAAGCGAGTTCAGTGGGCTACTGGGAGGTATGGCACAACGCTGAGGCACGTGCCGCTGATACAAGACTTACCTTCCGTCGGGCAACCTGCACAAAACGACGAGCACTACGCGTACGTTGCAAGGATCTCGACTGCGGCATCAGACCACACGCTGATGCTCAGCAACCTAGGTGGGTAAATAGATATACTTAATACAACCATTGTCTGTTCCAAGGGCAGGCAGTTTATGACGCATATACAATAGACGTTGAAACAAAACGATATGTTTCAATACCCATAGATATCTGTATCGTTTTCAAGAAGTACTTTAATTGTACTGAGTGCTATAGCGTCTCGTCAACTCCAAAGTAATCTGATTTAATGAAGCACTCACAATTTTTCATTAGGAATTATTTAGATAATAGAAGTTTTATTAATTTTCTGATCCAGTCACTGTGTGCATACTGGCTGTTTGATAAAATCATTTCAAATAATGTGGCCAATCCGATAGACATGATAAGTACCCATGTCCATTCGCCTCTTGGAGTTATTCTAGCCAGTACAGCTTGTATGGCTTGTTTAACGCATGGGGCGATACGTGGGTCGGATGTGTTGGTTAGGGATGTAACTGAGCGCGGTGCGCGCGTTCGCTGGAGCAGGGTAGTGGGCGGCGGCGGAGCAGCAGCAGGCGCGTGGCCCTGGCAGGCGGCCTTGTACCGCGACGGAGACTTCCAGTGCGGGGCTACACTCATTGCTGATCAATGGCTGTTGTCGGCTAGTCATTGCTTTTACCAGTGAGTAGTCATCGTTGTTATCATATAATACTATTTCTAGTATAACGTGATTGAAGACACCAATGCAGTTGTTTCCAATAACTATTTAGGTCCGAGATGATGCTGCAATGCTTTTCTGTAAAACACCATCGAACTTGATATCATGCGCAGCGCTTATCTACTTCAAAAGTTATAAAGCTTTTATTTTATTAATGACGAATCCGAGACTGTTTTTAAACAGAAAAGCAAAGCCATACATATCCGTAACACACGACATAGAAAAGTCACTCAGCATATTAATCCCCATTATAGGGGCAGCACATGCTTTTCTTCCTATGCATGGAATCTAATCGAATCGAATATAGAGAATAATGACCCACCACGCGGGCCCCTTGTGGATTGGTAAGTGTTAACAACTGCAGATGCAGCTGTGACTCTCACTTAAAAGTTGTTAACTTAAAAACGAGTGCCGCCAACTTTAATCCCACGTCAGATTCTGGCTGCGACTACAATCAATAATACTCATCAAATCGCAATGGGCTGGCTAGTGTAGTAGCCCGTTCTCTTTAATTGAGTCTATCTATAGGAAAAGCCTGTGTCGGGGCACATTGGGCTGATAAATAATTTAAAGCCATCATAAATTGTTACCACTTAGGTTGATGGTAACAGCTACGTACTTTTCTCCAAATTATTTATACAAATATTACAGGGCAACAGAAGCACATTGGGTGGCACGTTTAGGCGCACTGCGTCGCGGGGCTTGGCCTCGCGGTCCTTGGGAGAGGGTCGCTCGCGTGCGGCAAGTAGTGGTTCACCCTCGATACGCGCCACGAGGTTTCCGTAACGATATCGCGCTACTGCGAGTTGATCCACTACAATTACACGCCCGTTTGCGACCCGCATGTCTCCCACCACTGAGGGCGCAACCGCCCGCAGGCAGACATTGCACTGTCGTTGGCTGGGGGCAACTTTACGAGCACGAAAGAGTCTTTCGTAAGTCAATGTGTTTAAATTACTTAAATATTTTCCATTTATGTATTTGTTTTATTTATTTATTTATAGGTACAAAGACTTGTCAGCCAACAGACTAAAATCCAAAATGCCAACAAGTTAAAATTATGAAACAAAATTTTACATTGTTCATTCATTAAATATAAATAATAATAAAAAATAAAAAAAAAACTAAACCAAATACAAAGTGAGTACAAAAATCATTTATTACATATAAAATAAAGAATATACGTATTTAATGAATTAAGAATTCCAATGTCAACATAAAATTTTACAACATTCATACATATAATAACAAAAAAAAACATTTAATAAGTTATGATTTTCAATGTCAAATTGTTATTCTATATTATAATTTTTGCGTGCTTTTGCTTGTACATTAAGGGTTTACTCAACTTCAATAGGCTCTAATCGTTATCGCTATTTAGGGAAGTCTCCCGATTCTGTCTAGGAATTTGCTCGGTTACTATTTTTAATAGACCAAGAAACAGCTCTATTCTTTATAGTTGTGACATCACTCCAATGAGTTAAAGAATACGTTTATTATATGTTATGTTCAATTCAGAGTGGTTATCCAACATTTTATCTTGTTTGCTTGAGAATAGGGTACTTCCACTTATTAGTATATTAAGTTCTTTTATTTTAATTCTGTACCTTCCACTAGATTTATGCTAGATTAATTCCTTGGTTCACAGCTTCGTTACCTTATAAATATATTTTTTTTTTAGCGGACACCCTGCAGGAAGTAGAGCTACCTGTAATCTCGACAGCGGAATGCCGACGTCGCACGCGGCTCCTACCATTGTACCGCGTCACCGAGGACATGTTCTGTGCAGGATATGAGCGAGGAGGCCGTGATGCCTGCCTGGGCGACTCGGGCGGACCACTCATGTGCCAGGTTGCACTTCACTACTAATGTGGACATATTTTCATAGCTTTTGATTTGTTGTATCCTATAGAGGTATGACTGCTAAATATTTATACAAGTGCAATTGCATATTGTTGAAGAGGGTTTTCAGAAACCATGAAAATCGGCGAGCATCTATGAAAAGATAACTAAACTCAGTAATAATTAGCTTTTCTAACGTTATATTTACCTCACGTACTTCTCCTCCATTTATATCTACAAGCAATGTATTATCATATTAAAACTAAAAAAGTACGCCGACTCGAGCTCTGAGAGAGCTATTATAGCCTTAACACGTAGGGCTATCGCTTAAAGGTTATTCAATCGTAAGAAATGCATAGTCGGCGGACACGGCTTAGCCACGACTGCCACTCGTACCTTAAGCACCTATAACATTGATAATATAACTAACGTAGGACTCTTTGACTTTACTGTTGTGTTACTAAACATTGGATGCCTAATAGTATTAATAGATAAATATGTACTTATTTTCTTATAGCTATAATTTTAAACTGATAGGCTGATGACGATATTTCTTTGATAAATTATTTTTTTGTTATGGTCATTCATTAATCGTCATCTTTGTTCCTATGTCCTAGGAGTCTGATCGCTGGTACATCTACGGGGTCACTAGCAATGGGTACGGATGCGCCCGCGCCAACAGACCTGGCGTCTACACTAAAGTGTCGAACTATGTAGAATGGATTGACACCGTAATGTCAACGCACACGCCGAAAAAGAACCATACGCGAGTAGACAGCGGCGATTACGAAGACGACGACTTCTACGCTGACTTAGAAGCCGCAGAAAACAGACGAGCGACCAGAATAGACACCTGCAGAGGATACAGATGCCCGTTAGGGGAATGTTTGTCTCTTTCCAGCGTGTGTAATGGATTTTTAGAATGTTCCGATGGCAGCGACGAGTGGCAATGTGACAAAAAGAACAATACGAGAACACATAGCCCAGATTAAAAAAAATCGTAGTTTAAACTACTTATTCGCCAGTACGCACGTCGTAGAATAAAAAAAATAAATCCGACTGATATTTTTAAGTAGATAAGGATTTAGGCATATCAATTTTTAGTAATTAAGCGAATCATTTGTAGTAATTATTTTCCAAATTTACAGATTTCATTATTACGAATATTGAAAAATCTTTCTGGGAGATTTTGCCATACCGCGATGTATCTTGCAGTAGTATCTGGGACTTGTAAATATAGCTGTAATAAAATGCCTAGACAATATTTCGTTGCTGCATTGACAATTCTTATCCAAATGTATTTATTGAAACACAATGGATGACCTTTTCCGTTTAAATTACTTACCAATATGTAAAATTTTTGAATGGACGATGTAATCCATGAAAATTATGAAATAATAAAAAAATATCTCAATTTGTGTATTCTATTGATGTACCACCACCTACATATACGTAAAATAATATAATTAGAAATGACACACCCTTTTTCTTATAAATTACTTTAATATCTCGACAAATAAATTAACAAAATGCAAAACTGTAATACAATATTATATTCATCGAAATAAAATTTGCATAATAAATAATTAGAATGCTTATTAGAGAAATCACGAATAACATTACAATTATTGGAATACGAAATGAAATTGACTAATTAATACTTCAAATCAATAAAAGACAAAAATAATTCTCATAAAATAAGACACTTCTATTAATTATAATAATAAATGAATGTTTACATGAATAAATGTATTATAAGTTATTTGTTAGTATGAAATAAGCATAAGAAAAGATCGAGAACCTCGCTTGTAAGACGAGAGGGGTTTTATAAAATCACTTAAATATTACAGACAGCGAGTCGAGAAAGCAATCTTTTAAAATTGAGACAATCACACGCCTTACAACTAACTTAACTAATCCCGTACCTTATGGTACTCCATAGGTTGCGCATACTCAAGAAATGTCAAAAATTAAAAATCTCAAAAAAACGTGTATGTAAGGAACATGTTTACATAAACGATTTGAAGGCCTGTAAATACACGAGTTATATATTAGTTATCTCTACGTCATTATTAAAGTTACATTTTTTAAATACTAAGATCGAGTGAAATGAGCAGAAACGAAGTATAATAAGGTATATGCGTTGCAATATGGTCTGCATTAGAAAATTTCATTCTAAATTGCTGCTAGCCCTTTTCAAGTTTAACTCACACATGCAAAACTTGTCGTATTTATTGATGTTATGCATACGTAAGTAAAGATTGAAGAAGGAAAAGAAGTGTGTAAGAACGAAATTTTAAAGGTAGGCCTTATTACATAGCAGGCCTTACCGTATGTACCTTAGATGTTAACGATGACAAAATGGCGTCGAACCCGAGAACAGAACGCCAATTACAGTTGCCGAATTATAAAATTTGTGCTTCCAACGAGATACGAGAGGCGAGCCGCAACAGTGGACTAATATTGAACTAGACCGTGCAAAATATATTTTTTCTTAACAGTAAATTTAAAAAACACACTCGCCTCGAATTATTATTAATTAATTCTAAGCGCTTGCAAATTCCACGCAATCGTGCTCACAATCAATGTTAATATCTGAAATTGAATGAAAACGGTTGGATGGAATATGCAAGCGAGTTAATATAAACTTCTACGTTAATAATCGTGTCTGTCTTCGCTTCGTACAATCAACAGCACATTAATTAATTAAAAAACCGATAAATTTCTCCAAATAGATTTTAAATGTTGATATATATAATTTGAACTTTTAAAATCGATTGCAGAAACTTGATAATTTGTAATATGTGTTGCTGTATTGGATTATATACTTTATATATAAATAAATTGAGTATATGAAAGAGAGGAGTGATTTTTAACTTACGTATATTTAACACCGTTAATAATATACGGTACGCTGAAATTCAAATTGATCTTAAAAATACCACCCCCAAATTTGGTGTTACTGTTTTTAAACTACAATTGTTTTTGCTTCGAAGCGAAGACGGAACGAAAAGCATGCATAGGAGTCCAGAAAAACTATCTAAGCAAATGTGAATTCCCGGGCGCAAGTATTTATGGAGTGGGGCGGTTAGCCCTTGTTCTCTACCGGGGTGGTGGTCAGCCCGGCCGCTCCCTTCAACACAGTCTTGAACTGTTCCGGTATGGGATGCTCAGTCTGGAAGAGATACATCTTATTTATTCTGCTTGTTTTCAATTATGAAAAATTGGGCTTCAATAATACTACTTTTGACTTAAATTACAATTAAATAACAAAACAATACAAATATTAGGTCCTTACATATGAAATTAGCGTTTTGTCGTACTGGCCACTTTAATTACAAATATCTCTTTCTTGGTTGGGAATTCCAAATTCAAATTTATACAGCCATGTGTGTTTCGTTAGGCGGCATTTATTTGTTTCAACTGCGATGGGGCAAAGCAAATCGCCTTGAAAGATTTTATTGATTCCCGTCCGAATGTTTTTTTTTTTGTAAGGGGATCAATGAAACTACCTATGAGATGGCAAAAGTACATAGATAACAATGATTTATACTTTAATTAAATAAACATATAATATTAAAAAATATTCAACTATTTGCTCCTCTCATATCAAACACCAATTTCATATGTAAGGACCTAATACTTTGTCACATCAAGATGCCATCTGTAAAGGAACATGAGGATTGGTGCATCGCGTTTTGTCGGTGGCGAAAAAAATTAAGAAAGGTGGCGAGAAAGTATTATTTGTTTATCTGGCCGTCAGGAAAATTAATGCAGCATATTAGATACGTATTTTTTTGCGTAATCAATAAATTACGGCGACACATTGAGTTAAAATGTCGCATGACGTCACGCCGATGTACATTTTCTACATGATGTGACTTAGTAAGCCTCCGCTTCCTCAACTTTTACGCAATAGGTATTCAACTTGAGGAGCGCAATGGTTGAAATCTTAGCTATTTCTTGTTAAATTGAAGCGAAATAAACGTATCTTATATTTTTCTAATATGTGACTGACACAAAAATTTTTGTTACCCAATCATCATCCCTATTGACAAATATCATCTTCATCATCATCATCATCAGCTCTTTAACGACCCCACTGCAAGGGCTCAGGCCTTGCTTATGGATGGTTAAGGAGGATGGGCCATGATCCTCCACGCTGTCCCAATGCTGACTGGAGGGTATTAACGAATGCAAATGCAGCCGGTACCAACGGCTAAACGTGCCTTCTGAAGCACGGAGTTGCTCGAGTTAATAATTTTTTGGTCACCCATCCCGTGACCGACCCGTGGGAAAGTTGCTTAACTGTTTGACAAATATACATATTTGACATTAAATCTTGCACAATCGATAGAAAATCTTTCGCGCACCCTTCTGCGAGAGGCTTCATTTATATTTCGTCAGATTTGCAGCGACCCTTAAAGGCAATGAATGACTGATCTATATGCACAGTTCAAACTATTAGACGGATCGAGTTGAAGTTTGACATACTAATAATATACTGGTGGACAAAAAAATTAGGCCACTGCTATTTTTATCACTGGTTCTTTTCTTTATTTAATTTTTTCTTGTTTTTTGCTAAATAAATAGATCATTACCAATTTTAAAAATTCACTACTTAGTTTATTAATTAATACACAGCCGATTAAAAAAAATATTTAAGTATTTTTATTTTGAAGCACAGTCATGACAGTCGGTTTAGTAGATGGCCTCATTTCATTGCCCACCAGTTGTAGTTATTATGGCACAGAGGAAAAAAGGATTTTGAAAAAGTCAGCCGTAGTCTAAGCTAAGATGGTCAAATAAGAGTTTGAAAATCATCTCGAGGGCGAATATAATCATTTTAGCTTCTGTTCGTTAATGTCAATTTTAACGTTTCAAATCTTTTTTAGAAAGAAAGAAACTTATTTATTCAGTGACCATACAAGAAAACAAAAGACAAAAAGAATATAATACTATAAAGACACTGAAAAGGCATCCACTCAGTATGTGTCGGATGTCGTAGACAGTCCGACGCTGATCTTCCGTGACAACCTTATATTCTTGATTAGCTTATATTTTAGGGTATTTCCTTTTGAAGTGTCAAAAGGAAAAAATCGGAAAACTTATAAGATCGCTCGGAAATTGCTGGACTAATTGAGTTGATACACATATGTAGGTCAGTTACTCAAAGACAATATAAATAGATGAATCTTAAACATCTTAAAATGCCATTTTTGGGGGGGTAAATTAGAAAATTAAATCCATCTTTGTTCTTTTGTGCTTAAAGCATTAAATAAAAACTATATTGTGCGATATTCCAAATGAAAAGATCTATTAGAATGTTTTTTTTTATAATTTTAAGACTTTTGAAATTATTTAAGAAAATAGGCGAATATTGATTATGTCGCCCGATTTTGGAAACTGCGGTATCTAAAATTTTGGCGAAGCAAAGAGAATAGCCCCTTAGATTTAGATTATAGGAAAATCCATAGGAAATCTATAGATAAAAAATTACTACTAGCTCTATAACGGGTACTGAATAGAGATGACAAGGAAAATATTTATTAGTCTCCTTTCCATAAAACTTTTCACTTATACAGAATGTTGATAGGTAACAAAATGACAATTTCATTTAAATGTCACACAGCAAGTCTACTTAGTAACTTCACAAATGAGAAATTGTACCTAAACAAGGATCGTAACAAAAACGAAACTTTCGGCTTCAAGTATCTAAGTTAAATTACTGTTAGCCTTAATTTTGAACAAATGAAAATGCTATAATTGTAACTTGGAAATGTGATGGTCGTATTCACAAGTAAGTAGTTATAAAACGGCCTATTTTGCTAATTATTTCGCAACAAATCTAAGTAGAAGAATATTTTGCTACATTGAAAAGTAAAAAACAGGCTAAGTGCGAGTCGGACCTGCGCACGAAGGGTTCCGTAGATAAAAAACGCTAAAAAAATTTCGTTTGTTGGAGCCCCATTAGGTAATTCGGTTTTTTAGCTTATCTGTGAAAATTTGAACTGTCTAACTACCATAGTTCAAGAGATACAGCATGGAGACAAACTGACAGACAGACAGATGGAAGAACAACGGAATCTTAGTAATCGGGTATCGTTTAAACCTATGGTTTAAGTTGGACCCTAAAAGGGGAGTTTGTATATTTATACTTGGCTTATATTATTATTTTTAAAATATCATGAAATTTTTTATATAGGACGGACTTATTGTATAATTTATACAATTTCATTCCAAAACTCTTACAGCGCAATCTACCCCAAATTAATATGATTAAGGTAATTGATGCACTGGTTAAAATGTCTTAATGTATATACAGTTAATAGCCAAATAAAATGAAAATACTGCTGAAACGCACTGGCCTCCGGCAGAATTCGAACCTGTCAGATACATATTTTTCAAAATTACTTATACAATTTTCATTTAGGGTCAGTCTTTAACTAAAACAAATAGGGAATATACGGCACAAGCGCATTTTTTATGGAAACTAAATTTAGGTGCATACACATAATTTCAAAAAGAGTAGCTCCGTGGCGTAGTGGATAAGCGCTGCGGCCCGCGATCGTTGTCGTTAAGCAACTTTCGCAAGGGTCACGGGATGGGTGACCAAAAAATTATTATCTCGAGATACTCCGTGCTTCGGAAGCGCGTTAAGCCGTTGGTCCCGGCTGCATTTGCAGTCGTTAATAGCCTTCAATCCGCATTGGGCCAGCGTGGAGGGTCATGGCCCATCCTCCTTAACCATCCACAAGGAAGCAGTGAGGCCTTAAATGGGCTGATTATGATGAAGATGATGATGACATTATTTATATGATGATGATGATAACAGTATATTCCATATTTACATGTACGAGAGAGAGAATGAATCTCAGCTCAGTTACAGTGTTGCTACGCGCATGTGTGTAATGATCATAAGTTCCCGTTTCGCTCATGCTAATGTTGAAATTCATTGCTCTCTCACTCGCCCAATTGACATGCTACCGATAATGTCCTGTTCATGTATCATGTATCCTGTCTCGCTCACACTATAGTTGAAATTTATAGTTGTATCTTGCTCGGGGAATACGTGTAAGTGTGTGAGTGAGTTTACTTATGTAATTTTATTAGTGCCATTTTTTAGTCAATGCATCTATGAGAATGCCGTATCTTCCCTTTTTGTTTTAATCACCCTTTGATAACAAACACGGCACAAAAAGTATGTCGGTAAAAATCTTAACTAAATTAATAAAGCCACTTACATAATCGCCATTGCCTTTAGGCACCAACACGTTCATCTCCGATGACTTGGAGCTGACTATCTCCACGCCCAGCGACTCTGGTGACAAGTAGATCTGGCAACCGTCTGTCTTATCTATGGAGATTGTGGGCACTTTACCCAGTACCTGCACAAAAAGTAATTCAAACGTATTAGAATACTAATTTTATCAAACACTATGTTTTCTCGCGACTTTGCCCATGTAAATTATAGCATATGTCACCCGAGTATGATGTAGCATCCCGTAGCCGAAAAAAATTTAATAATCGGATCAGAATTGCCGAACACCACCCCTACAATCAATGTTGGAAGCTTTACTTCTTTATTAGTATCGTATGTATAGATAATCCATCAGAGATCAACCCCATCACTATCTCTTTTCTACATTTATTTATGATCTACATTTTGCTAAATATAATATCAAATTACTAAACGTAAATTGCAATTAAGTGGATATTTTGACACGGAATAAATGCTTTGTTCAAAAACATCATTTTTGCTACAACATCATCTGTTTTACTATTAATATGCCTTATTTAATTAAAAATAATTGTTGATGTTTGGTTTTAGGCAGTAAATTTCTCTTATCTTTAATAAGTTTTATTTTAGCGATATAGCAATTGAGACAATAATGACAATTAAAAAGTAGATATTTAACTAAGATCAGTATCTAATACAACTTTTTGTTTTTTATTATGATTTGATAAAATCAAAATAGCATATTTGCATAATCAGTTCAATAGAAAAAAAATAAGCAAATATATTTACTAGCTAATTGGCTGTGGGAAGAAGGCAGCTAATTATTTGGGAACCCCATTATGATAGGACATGAGATATTATGTGAATTGGACATTTCGGGAAATGGACATTTGGGGAACTGGACGTTTCGAGAACTGGGCGTTTATAGAATTCTGAACTGAACGGCGAGAAAGGTAGCTGCGGTCCAATGGCACGCCATGGAATCCTTATGGAAATAGCCAATCTTTGATGCCTATTTCCTCAATGCGGTTTTTAAATAGGAAACTCAAAACAGAAAACGATAGGGCTCAGGGAAAAGACAATAACGTACTGCCAGAGGCAGCTCGACCCTAGGCATCTAAATATGTGTGAAAAAATTTACTACGATATTTATTATTATATTATTATTTAACCTAAGGACTAATAACTAACACATTCGAGTTTCGTACTCCGTATGCTTAATGCGAATTAGTATGCGAGTGAGCATCGTAGTGTAACCCTGCCTTAATGATAGAAATTCATTATTCGTCGGCCAGAATTTGAAGGTAACTTATAAAGAAAAATGAACTAGTAGAAGAAACGAGGGCAAGAAGGAAGGGCTAACTTTGTGTAGAAATAAATAGAAATTTTACTTGGCTTTAGTCTCTTATTTAAATTGTTCTTAAAAGGTACGAGTAATTAAATAATGAAAACTAATTTCTAATTACCAATAACTATATTCTAGTCGGAAACGGGTTATAACTCGTAAAGTAAAACCGTTAGAAAAAAAGGTTAAAGGCATTTTCGAATATATGGCATACATTTTTGCAATTAATACTTAAAATATAACCATTTTCTAGCTCGCGTATTTATTTACAATACGACATACATCGTAAGCAGTCTTCTATAGCTTATTTTTCGTATTTTTCTTCTGGAAACTGAGAAACAATTATTTTAAATTTCCTCTATAACTATAAAATATAACTTTAATGCATTCGTCATTGATTAATTCATGATTGATCATGCTCTGTAGAAGTAATCAATCAATTAAATTTTCAAACATCCAAACACACAAACAAACAGATGAATGTACCAGAGACATTCTTCTGTACATATTTGAACATGGTTTAAATTATCTGCTATACTACAAAAAATAGTTTGTCCCTTTATGTGAGTGAGTTTGGCTTTATGTGAGCAAAAAGAATAAACATCAAATCTGACATGACGGGAGTTCCAAAAATTTTAAAGAACGTCATGCGTAGTCAACAAAAATATTTCCTATACGCTAGAAAACAATGCTATATTTTTGATCAATTTTCAGCATATATTTTACTTTATATCCAAATGTGATTTGTGAGAATTTATGTTTTTACGTTGGTTAGCGTATATTTTTCTATGTTTTACTCAGTTGCGCTATTTTTCTTTGTGTTACTTGCATTCCGTTTGTGGAACTTAATGGAGTCGAGTGACGACAAGGGCACCAAGACGAGCAGTAACGGGAGCGAGTCCGCTCTGATGCACCTATGGCACCATTTGATTGACCACTACGGAATACCTTTCGGCCAGTTTTGTATTAGTTTTATTTATTCGGTGTATATGTGGTTTACTCTATTCAACGTGGTGAGTATCTTTAAGTATCGTCTCCAGTTCGCAAATTTTCATACGGTTTTTAACATACCTTACATTAAACAAGGAGAAGGTTCTATTTTTATGTGCGATTGTATGTATTTTTTAGTGTATGTTCATCGACTTCTTCGTGAATTGTAGATCAATTCTTGAAATTCTGAAAACCTACAGTCTTTAAATAGAACTGTTGTTTGATTTTTCTTCCATTATTATTAAATGATTATGTTATCATTATAAGACCTTAGTTTTTTTTTTCTCTCTCTATTTATAATGTATTGATCTGGTAATGACATGGTTTCTGTAAATGTCATTACTCCTATTAGAGCTGTTGAGTTTCTTGCTCGTTCTTCTTATCAGCCAAAAGACGTCCTGAACTAGTGGTAGGGAAAAAATGTTGGACGATTCAAAAGTACTTTTAAAAAGTATGAATAAATATTGTAATTAGACGTCGTGTATTCTGGGCTCGTTATCATAAAAGTCACATCACCAGTTTAATTTTCCACAATTAAGCGGGTGTTTTATTAATTTATGTAAATAAAGGATGAAAGTACAGTTTAATAAGAACATGACGTTTGAAACGAGAATGCTCTTACCGCGCTCATTCTATATATTAATTACAGATAATGTTCATTTTGAAATATATCCCAACGGGATTGTATATGTACAAGTTTCTTATGAACATGTACGTGACATCGAGGGAGAGGATAAAGGACAAGCAAATTGAGCTCGAGGACATTCAACTTCAGGTTAAAGCTCCTTTTATTTTGTATCTTTTCAATTCCATACAGGAAATTAATCTAATAATGAATATTTTAATTAGAAAACATAAAATCGTCTTGAAAAACTTGAAGTTTTTAAGTTTATATATTAACCATCCGTCCGACTCACAAAAAAACTATTCAGGTTGTTAATCATTTTCCTGGGTACACCAGATATTAGTTTCATTTTTCATATATACACTCCATATCAGTATTGTCTTATGTGCCGCGACATATACGTATATTGCAAAGATAATAGTATAAAATTCATGAGACTTACCTACACATAGCCTTCTAAAAGTGTATATTTACGGCAAATGTTTCGAGGACCACGTTTATAGGTCCCTCGTGAAGACCACTGGGAAATTAACACGAGTTCGTGTGACATGTGTAGTAAATTAGAGCTTTTATAATTTATATCAATTTAACAACGAGATCAAATATTTATTATATCGAGCTCCTCCGTACTATGAAAGGCACATTAGGCCGTTGGTCTCGCTGCATCTGTAGTTGTTAACAACCCCACACCAATTTACAATGTGCTCGCGTGGTAGGTCATGGCCCATTCTCCCTATTCGATTTGATGCCTGCCATCATCATAGCCTGCCCCAACGGTGGGGGACATTAATAATAATGTGATTAACTTTTTTAACATGGAGCTATAGCTTAACTATATTACGTAATCGAAAAAGGAACGTCAGTACTAACATAAGGCTCTATTTGCAAACAGATTCAAATTGTGGACACGAAATTGTGCATACGAGACGCAGAGTTAACAGAGCGAGCTCAACAACTACTACGAGACATTGATCGGCTGCGAAAAGTGCGCGCGCGCATCCACAACATTATTGCGACCGACGAGGCGTTACGCCGTGCTCTTGATGAATCGGCAGCGCTAGACATCGACAATGTCAGCCTTCACACCACACCTGAACAAGGTCATTCTTCATGGAATAGTCTGCCTACTCTTCAACATTGTATACCTATCTATATATTTTGTTAATACACCACCAAAAATATTGAATTTCGATCAATAGTTGACGGCTGATTTGTTTTGTTATCTGTTAAAAAAATAACCTTAAAATTTAAGTCTTAAATTTTTCGATAGGTGACGCTATGGTCGTCTGAATAGCGGTATATCTCGACTTTGTATAATTGTATTAGTATTAAGAATCTACGACTATCATGAAAGTTTTAGTTTTACCCACGTGGGTTATTGGTGTGTACGTTAGTTTCCTGAATTGGATCATACCGACTATCAACTCCCAGTCGCGAATAAGCTATTTGTTGTTATCTTTTTGATTAATCCTGTTTCTGTATCAAACAAGGAGTTTATTGAGTTTTATTTAAAATAAGCCACTACAATATTTAATTTGTTTTACTTCTAATCCTACCAATTAATTTCGATATTGCCTGACCTTTGTTCAGTCGTATTGTAGAACGTTGCATTCAACTACTGGACTGATCAAAAGTCAGTCCGTTTATTGATATTCAATTAAAGGGTTAGCCGCCCAATTGATCGTCTGATTATACCACTTGGCTACGACATGGACAAGAGCGTGCGTGTTTTGGGCTCCTTACCGAAAGGTTAAAAAAACGGACACTATTACTAAGACTCCGCTGTCAGCCCGTCACAGTGGGATTTGTGCACAGATGGTTTAGTGCTCGTTTCCGTGAGCCCGACTCGTTATTGCAGTTATCCGCACTAAATGATTCATGTATTGGATCGTTAAATCGCTAGTATTCGTATTTATCGCCGTCATTAGCTGAGCAGCTAGCTCGGTCTATGAAGACTTTGTTTTGAAGACCCAAAATCTATTGACCTTCACGATCATGTCATAATAGTAAACCATATTTCAGTATAGACGACCAGTTTGAACGTTAACTTAGAAAGAACTTTCTTTCAAACTTTTCTTTTCGTTGTATTTCCGAAACATGATTTATTGGAGTTCAGATAATGGCTTTAGTTCGGATATAGTTAGTGGTTTTCAATAATTCCCTTTAAATGGTAAATGCGGTGAATACTAGATCAATTTACGCCTACATGTTGTTATTAAATAGTAATGAATTTGACGTATTCACCCGTTAAAAGAGATATTCTACATGAATAAATATTTAGTTCGATAAATATTCTGTGTTAAAAAAGAGAGAAAATAGATATTTAAAATCTCCCTAGAGGAATATTACTTAATATAACCCTCAGAAGATAGTCGCCATATTTATCTCTCTATTGAGTTAAATGTGAAACGATAAAGAGTTCGCGAAAACAATTATGACAGTAGGTACATATTATAAATTTGCTGATCCACATACAGCCGTAAAAACTCCCATCGAAAAAGTGTTTCAATTTTAATAAATATTTCTTATTTTCAGTGGTAGAAAACTTGTCTCTGTATATAAAATTTCATTTCAACTGTAACATATTAGTTTAGAGAATACAGAATCTACCCAGTCATTCTCAAGTGATATACTAATATCCGATTATCCTCTGAAAGTATAACGTCATAATAATAAATATTAAAGTTAATTTACCGATTACTTTACGAGTTTTACGAATTTATTTACACTAAGCTAATTTATTTAACGCTTACACTTTCAGATCGTGAGTTTATAGTGGAATTACTGAAGGCACTCAAATATGAAAATATTAGTGAGCCAGAGCGGCCATACGATAAAATGGAGTGTGGAGAGTGCCCGACCACAGATCAAACGAATCCAGAGAATAGCGTGTACTCCTCACTAAATGACACGGACATGAAGCAGGATTGTAGCGTTAAAATTGTGAAGGTCACAAACGTATACAAAGTGGCGTATCTCAAACATTTCATCAAACAAAAGCGTTTGCGGCGAGCCCATAAGCACGCATTATTAAAGAAAAAGGTAAGCATAACACCCATCAATCAGTCGTCCCAATAATAAGAATCGCAAACTAATTTAACTCGGATCATTTCTGTTTCTTTTCTGTTTGAGAAAACAACTCTGAAAGTGAAAAGTCACGGTTAGTTTTTTTTTACTATCAATAGACGCCGCTAATCATGAAAAGAAATTTCTAGTTATTGATATTTAGTATAAAAGTTTATAAGATAATTTAGACGATGTAATTATTCTCATTTTATATATATAAAAACAATACTTCTCTCTTGAGAATTATCAAAATCTGTTGCGCTACTGACGAAGATATAACGAACTCAGAAACTCCTTTTGTAAAGTCGGTTAAAATATAACAACGAATAAAACACTAGCACCCTTTATTGATAGTTAAAAGAAAGAAACTGCGCTGGTAACAAGGATATAAAACAAACATAAAAACAAAGAGTTATTTGAACTTGTGCACAGTAAAATGGTGAAAAATGAGCTGTGTAAGTACGTGATGAGAAAGTCACGTAGATATACTCCCAACCTTTCCTTTATTCGCGACCAAGAACACAACTATCTAATAAAGAAAGCTATTTGTATATGTTATTACTGTGAGTGGTACGTGATATTTATGTATAATTCGTCATTTTCAAGATGGAAAGCATCAAAAATCTATTAGAAGGCTGGCAGAAGTCCCTGAATATGGTGTTGAACAACAAATTCACTATACTGAATATGGAATCAAGGATAGACGCAGCATCGCATGAAGCTATGGGCGACTACTCCAAGCCCACATTACGAGAGTATTCAGATTCTGATAGCGATCTACGCAACAGCTGCGACGAAACTACTAAAGACGAATACGGACACAGCTGGGCGCAGAACTATAGATGTTGCTATAATTTTGAGGTACGGTAGTACGTGTTTATTTCTGTATTCACAATGCTATATTATTATATTTTTCTTTAAGATAGGTAATGTCTCCAACTCCAGTTACCATTGCTCTTATTGTAAACATGTATTTTTATTGCATTTGCAATGCTTTTTGCGTTTCTAAAAAATATCGTCGGGACAGTTCTGAACTTCATCGCACAATTTTGAAATTCGGTTAAAAAATCGAGAGGGTTGAATACGAATTATAAAAGAGTTCGAATACCACTTGGGACACTCGGTAGCTGGTGAATTTATTAAGTGTTTTTCTATAAGATAAATGCGTTTCAAAAATAAAGTTATTATTCAATATTTTTAAAAACATTAAGAGCTTTCAAAACTTCAACTTGTTATCCCAGTTAGCCTTAATATTAAGTTCGTCCTTCTGATGTTTAGGCCATGAGCTTCAAACATAACACTAAAAGGTCACATCAACTGTCAAAACCCAGTAAACAAAACATTACCCAAGCTTAATCTACGTTGTTTGTAAAGTTAATGCCGGCAATCTATACTAATATTATAAAGCTGAAGAGTTTGTTTGTCTGAATGCGCTAATCTCAGGAACTACTGGTTCGAATTGAAAAATTATTTTTGGGTTGAATAGATCATTTATCGAGGAAGGCTTTAGGCTATATAACATTACGCTGCAACTATTTGGAGCGAGGAAATAATGGAAAACGCGGACGAAGTCGCTGGCGGCCATTAGTATAAGATAAAATTGATCGTTTCTTGGCATAATATAAAAAACCGCCAAGGACTGGAATAAATTGTTAGCGCCTGTATTTCCGTCCGATTATAATGTGAATATCTTCAAATCAAGAGTGAATAGGCTGTTTCTTGGTTAATACGCTATACCACTCAAGGCCTTCATCACCACTTACCATTAGGTGGGATCGTAGTAAAAAAAAAATATACGGAAATATATCTCATGTATATTTTACAAAAACATACACTCAAGGTATAGATGTTAACTATTTGAGCTCATAAAAGGCAGTAACAAGTTTTCTTACTTTAAGGGAAACATTCCAACCCCAATTACTTAAGTTATAACTTCAAACAAGTAAGTACAAACAATGGGTGAATGAAACGCTAGCATATATTTCCAGGTTCTCTACTATATCTACTATATCTCTACATAAATATTACCCCAATTTTAAATTAAAACATGAAGTACATGATACAGACCACATCATTCGTTCGATGGCTATCGATCAATTGACGTAGGAGAAACTGTCAATAAAGTAGACTAATTTGCCCATCAATCGATGGCTTCGAGCATCGCTGTATCAATAAGTGTAGTAGTAACTATCGATCGACTTTGATTAATATATTGTACCGTCGATCGATGGCTTCGATCGACAATCGTTCATTGCACTTACAGGTAACAATTATAATTCTTAAAAATTTATGTCACGTGTCAATGAAACATCACCTTTAGTAATAGCTATCATGAAATATAGCACTGTCGTTCCCCCAAGTCGTTCATCATGAAATAAATTAGAGAAGCCTATTAGACATCGCACCGCGCCTCGTTCAGTCTTAATATTGCCCACTTTTGAGCCTTATTGCATAATATATAGGTACATACATCGAAATGACATAATTTGAAACGTAACATTTCTTATTTATTTATGCTCACAATATTACTACGAATGTATATGATAAATTAACGATCGTAGTAATAAAATAAATTACCTTTTTATGGAAATGTGATTATATCGCATTTCTTCTTGAGAGGGGCGTAAACAAAAAAAAATATTTTAAATAGTTTTGTTCCAAGAAATAACAACAAAATTGTGCACTGTAATTAAACATTGATATAATAACACCGTATTATAAGAGTATATAAGATAATTATAAAAAATCTAAATAAAGCTATTTATTAGATAAGTTATTATATTAGATACGAGTGAGTCAGCTAATTTATTTATTTATTATCGACTAATATAGTATTTCTTTATCATTGCAGTCCAAAAGGTTATAAAATTAATAATGATTTTTTAAAACATGACAACAAATTACCGAAAACTTAGGTTCTCTCTTTGAAATAAATTAACTGAATGAATGATTTATATGCGCATACCGTTATACAAGATTTCCTTTTCAGGACGTGCAAGAAACAGGCCTAAATCAAGAATTCTGTGAGCCTCAAGAGTACAATAACTTAAATTTTCCTGTTGAGATGATACATGCATGCGAGTGTCATGATCCCAGAATGGTCCACAAACTTTCCGTCCTGCCAGAGGAAACGACAAGTCAAATGGCGATAGAAAAGATCAACGGCGACGCAGACGACTACCAGACCCATGCGACTGCTGTAGTATGACTAATTTGTTATTTCGTATAATATTTGTATGAAAAGTATTTATTTGGACCAATCGACTTTTATTTGTCAGTGAAATTGAAATATTATTGGAATGAATCAATCGATGGAATACTACGTAAAATATTATCTATAAGTTATGGACAAAGGAATATTATACGTGACCTTTTTGTAAAATCTGCACAGTATACTTGGTCTTGTTCAGATTAATTCGAATTGTTAAAGCCAAGATAATAAAGGAGGACCAATATATCTTTACTCAACGAAAATTCGATTCTAGCAAATCCTACTGAATATCAAATCGAGAGCGTTTTCTGTTCAGCTGGTAATATTCTGCTTTATGAATCTTGTATCATAACAGCTGAGCAATAAATTTCACACAGACTTGGTGTTTTGCTGAATAGACGTCTCGTGGAAACATTATTTTATTTTCTTTCATAGAATGCGCAGCTACAAAAGCTCCCTTTAAAATTGATTGTCGTGCAGTCATTTAGGAATCGACCATTCAAAAAGGCTTTTCAAATGTATTTTTGTTTTGCATAATCAACGTTTTCACATTGTTGAGGTTTTATTATTATTAGACGTTTTAACGTATCAATTTGCTTTGGACCAAACTACCCATGGTTTAAAGAAAGTACTAAGTTTAGTCCTCATTTCATAATTAGGTATTATTCGAATCGAAATTATGGGCTATAATATAGATACACTACAGCAAAATCAATGATACGAAGCGTATATTTTGTAAATATTTAGTCACAAAAAAATTTGAACAATAAGACTATCGTTTATCAAAGGTTTCTCAATGAGGAAGTATTAAAAAAAATTGTTCCTGAAATCAAACTACATGTCGCTACGGTACATTCTAGATTTCTCCATGACAACTCTTCCAATTTTCTTTTCAAAAGTTTCGAACCTTGCAAATTTCAATTTTTTAATATGTAAGTTAAAAGGAACGGAAATGACTATCATTAGTTCATACGTTTCCTGCAAAAATCTACTTTTGGTAGAATCGCCATCTAGTGAGGTGCCTTTTTAGTGCTTTCTGTTTTTTCTTTAAATACTTCTTCATTGAGAATTTAAAGTAAAGCATGTTTCAAACTGTACTCTACTCTCAAATTTCACTTCTTTCGGTTCTGATTTGATTTTTTTTAATGATCAGTTGATAGCAGTTTAATAATATTAGGACTTATTGCCATGTGAAAAGTAAAAAATCTTGGGCTATTGAGAATAATAATCAGAGATTTTGTACTTTTTTAATACAGAAACCGACCGTTATATAATTATTTTAATTGTCAATTATGTTTTTTTTTTTTGCGGATATATTAGCACGTCGCTGTCGCTAAAATGAAACTCGTCTAAAAGGTAAGTAAAGCGTACATTAATGTACTGTAATGCTCATCGCACTTCGCGTCTGAACCCACATCGAATGAAGTTTCTTGTCTCTGTTCTACTTTGAAGTTTAGGCTAAAAACCATACCTAACTCTATTACTGGTAATTATAAAAGCATAAGGGCTGCTGTTGTGTCATTGATATTTTTACCATAGCGATATGGTGAGATGACGTCATAACTTTAATTGTTAACTTCGCTAAATCATTGTTTTACTATGTCGAGGACAAGGATGGTGCAACGCATTCCACGGTCAATGTTAAAGTTAGCTTTACAGTTATTGTCAAAATTGACATAAACCTTAACGTTAATGTACGCTCTTATGGTGCAATCCGGCCTTAATTGATACAGAATATATAAAAAAAACTTAATATAATATATTCTTAATGAAAAATGCTTAAAAATCCACTTTATCCCTGGTACTCTGAGATTGGATTCGAACTCACGATCTTTCATAATGCGGACGACTGCTGACCACTGAGCTACGCAGGACCTAACAGGACTCACGAACTTTCAAGCACTTGTTAGTTTTTATAATTTATTTCATAATAATTTATGTTATAATAATTTAAATAATTTGTTGAGAGACACTCATAAACCATGATCAGTATTGTTCAAAATAACACCACAGGATCACATCTAAATGTCATTCAATCATCCATTAAGACATAAAAAAGTTCAATAACAGAGCAGTTTTTCAGTGTGAATCGATATGCCTAGTTAGCTGTCTAATTAAATGTCATTGATAAATCATTTTTTATTTGCATATAAAGTTGGAATAAAAAAAAAGTAAGTAGGGGTAAAAAGAAGTAAAAGATATATTTAGAGTATAATTAATATAAATAAGTTTTGAAATATTGTCAACTCTCGGATTGCTTGTATGAAAACAATAGTGTGCACTGAATCATCATAATTTTTATATCGCGTAAATAAAATTCCAATCGTCTCCATCGATTCGTATAGATTTGACATCAGCACATAATCGTTATTATAGTTATGGGCGGTGCGTATCTGACGGGAAGTTTAACCGAAGTATGCGTCAAGTACGCGACGGATCATCCGACGAGTTAAGGTTGCATGTTACTTTAACTTCCTTTATCAGATATGAGCCGACCCTTAAAAGTCATCCCCATATAACAGTGCCGGCACAGTACCGACGCGTACCGATCAGTAACGTATCCATCAGTGTCAGTCACAAATGATATTGTAGCGACGAAGCTATGCGTACTCGAGAGTGAAGGTAGCGCTCATTGATTGATGTCAGAGCTGTGCCAACGCTCGCCGTTATCCGACGCGGAATGAATTTTGTCGTAGTATTTGAAGATGAACGACGACGAAAAGTTGGTTGAATTAGTCCATGTACATCTTGTAATTTATGATCTTTCACACAGCGAAAAACATACATACATACTAATATTATAAAGATAAAATATTTGATTGTTTGTTTGTTTGCAACGTACTTATGGATTCCGAAACTACTGAACCGATTTAAAAAATTCTTACACCCACGGGAAGCTACTTCATATGCGGTGAACATAAGCTATATTTTATCCAGAAAATCAACAAAAAAAGTAAGAAAATGGGAGTGGAAATTTATATAGGGAATTAAAACGTTACCATAGTAATGGTTGTTTACTATTCAATTTGTCATTTTAATTAAATCCGTGTCGTGATATGAATATGTTGATTCATAAACAGTTCCTTACGGACCACGCGGGCAAAGTCGCTAGTTGAAAGCTAGAGGATAATAATTTTAAAGCAATCGTGAAAAAATATCAATATACACGTCAGTGTACTTGTCAAAGTATGAATAACACGTCACGGAACTGACGGTCACGCGCCGGCACTGTTGTGTACGGGCCTTTAGTGTCACTGACCTGCATCTGCACAGACTGACAGTTGACGAACTCGACGCTAGACACGAGATTGTCGAACACGACGGCGCATTTGGTGCACGAGTCTAGCACCACGCCGTTGATTTTGCCGCGCACCGTGAGCGCAGAGTCGCGGCACCGGAACATATACACAACGTTGTTCATGTCCGCGTTTTCCACCACCAAGTTCGGGTTGCCTTTTTGATATTCCTGTAGGCAAGTAATAATCTTTATATAAATGAATCCCTATTTGTCTTGATCATGCCATCACACATGAACGAAGGATTCTTATGAAAGAAAAAAGAAAAGAAAAATTTGACAATTTAACAAAATCATTTCTAATCTAACCTTAGTGCTTTGGATAATATAAACTTTTTGTAACGTAACCTCAATGATATTAATATGTCTAGATAGGCAATACATACCAAAAATCTGAAGCTACTAAAACTAAGACGTTTGTCTTAGTTTTTTCGTTTTGCACTTCATTACTCATTCAACTCCCGCCACGAAAGTACAAAAAAAATGCTCCGTAAAAACAAAGAAAAACAGTAGATAAAATTCGATTCTCTTTCACAAATACACATAATACGAAAGAATATTAAGTTTCACACTTAAAGTCATAACATTTTTGGCAATAAATACAAAATTAAAGCTAGGTTATAAAATAAAAATATTTAATTTTTTTCAAATAAAATTTCGACATTTTGTCGTCAGTGTTGCCACTGCTATTCACTTTAAATTTTCCCAAGTATATGGGAACCTTTTCTTTTTAATTAACGTGGCTATAATTTATCTAAATATCTTTTTATAATTAATTATATAGCTCAGCTTAAGTATAGGCAACTGCGCTAATTTTTTTATTCATGCACACAGATGCTAATGTGGTTTAATTTTTTTCAATGCGTGGAATAATTCGTTAGTTGTCGAGATACAACTTTTGAAAATACGTAAAATAGTTTGTTTGATGTTTTATGAACTCTGACAAATGTTTTTGTCTTAACCACTAACTTTATCGAAAAACAAAGGGATATATATGCACAGAGCCTACTTTCGTAATTGTTTTTTTTTTTCAAAGTTTTTGCAAACAAATTTTCAAAGTTACAGTATTTTACTAATTGATTTTATGCATAAATCTACACTACTCGTTCATTCATTCATTCATCACAATGGGTGAAATTTGCGACAGCTGGCAATACAATATCAATTACCCATTTTTCCGTTCATTCTGTCGTTCGCGCATATTCTTTATTTGTTTAATTTAAAGTTTAATCGTAGATATGAGGGAGATAAATATAATAAATCTATTTATATTATATAGTATAAATATTATTTGCAAAGCTACGTCCTGATTTCGGAAAAATGCTACGCTTTTTGGCGCGTCTGTTGTATGGGATTGCTTCTCTAGTTATTAAACTCATTGCGTAACCTTATGATGTTTGACATAGAATTGACATAATGCGTGGAGCAAATAATGACTAATAGGATGTAAAAAAACCATACCATATGTTCTTCATAGATTATACCAATTCGAATATTATTCATAATTAAGATAATTAACATCCTCTGTCGGATCAGCTAGTTCACAATATAACATTTGAAATTTATTTATAAACTAGTGGACGCCCGCGACTTCGTCCGCGTGGAAGTCGGTATCCCGTAGGAGTGAGAAGTTTTCCCAGTAAAAAGTACCCTATGTGTTATTCTGATGTATAACCTATATTGCTGTAAAGTTTTATCCAAATCCGTCCAGTAGTTTTTTCGTGAAAGAGTAACAAACATCCATACATCCATACTTACAAACTTTCGCCTTTATAATATTAATAGGATTATTACCTAGGTCTACCTAATTTTCTGGCTGATGAGTTTTGTTTCTATTGTGCCAAAAAAACAATTCACCAGCCTATTAATATCCCCAACTACTGGAGCTCAGGCCTTCCCTATAGATGGATCAAATCAAATAGGGGAAAAGGGTCGAAACTCACCACGCTGGCCCAGTGCTGTATGGAATGTATTAGCGATTGCAAATACAACCAGGACCAACGGCTTAATGTGCCTTCCGAAGCATGGAGCGGCTAGAGATAATATTTGTTTGGTCACCCATCCCACAACCGACCCTTGCGAAAGTTGTTTGAAAAACATTATGACAAAGTATTTACATGCCTAAACGGTTATGTCAAAGTATATGAGTAGTAAAAATATTATGAAAAAAGGATCTAATTGAAGGTGATCAGAGGATTAATAGTTATCGTGAGTGTATAAGTTATGTTTTGGCTTATTTACAATACATTGGTTGACATAATCTGCGGGCGACTTCAAAGTGTTTTTTTTATTTTTATTTTTTGATAATCGAATGATCGTTCCGTCAGTCACAAAAATTAGCCGCACCTCGTATGCGGACCCCGTCGATGAATGTAATTAAGCTGTGAAGTGTGAAAGTACACTGTTCCGTTTTGTTTTATAAGAGACAAGTTAAGGTTAAAAATTTAAAAAAAAAAACAGTAGAGTATATGGTAAATTTCATTTATAAATATCGATTTAACAGCAGTTTAAAAAGTAGCGGACATTATTATCAAAAGATACGATATGAATAGCTCAGATTCAAGTATTTCGATACGGTTTTAAAATTTCATCTTAAACACGATTTTGCTGTTATGATACAATCTTCCAATACTCTATTTTTATACCAGAAAGTAAGTTTCATTTCAAAAGAAAAATCACAAAAAATATTTCCATAACCAAAAACAACTTTAAACTTCATGCGACCTGACCTCATACCCCAGATAAGGAGTTTAGAGGGTATCCTCTTGACGAGGGTATACTGTTTATTTTAAACAGGGCTGAGAGTTACTTGAAACGGATGACATTCCCGTCAAACGTATATCCTATATATGCGAAGGTGCTAAGTCACACTCACTGTAAAGCATTGTTGTCTATATTGTCAGTTAAGCCCTACATCTTATCCTATCCATCATGAATACCGATCTCTTTTCTTAGAATTTCGGTCAATTCCATATACATCCACAACAAAATATGTAATTAATCGTCTCACTTACCAACGTCAACATACGACATGATATGGAGTGGTGGCAAATGTTACTCAAATGTTAATATTATGATTACATGATTTCTTACGCCAGCTATCACATCACATGAGTACTATTTACGACGTCATATATTCGGTGGAAGTTGGATGGTTAAAATAAACGAGTAAAATATCACCGTGACAATCATAATTTAATGTTATGAATGAAAAGCGGGAAATATAATAGATTTAGGGTTGGGGTGGGGACGCTTTCGGTTTTTGTCGCTCTTGTGAGCTTACGGCTCTCTAGATTATGACATAAGAAGTCGGTATTTGTTTTTCCTTGTCAAGTAGAAATTTCAAACTTCTTATTTAGATTATGGAAATATTTTTCACTTTCTTGATAAATTTAGTCTATTTGAACTCGACAGATACATACGTAAAAAATACAGTGTGTTCTTTTGCGGTGTGCAGATGAAACTTTTCGTGGAAACAGTTACCAAATCATTGTCTTCATCCATATCTGTACCCAAACATTTAAGGAACTCGATAGCCCAATGAATGCCCTTTTCGGTCTGCGATGCTGAAGTTAACAACAATGACCGGTTATAGCATGGGCGACCAAAAATTTATTATGTCTTGTTAACAACCACTAATCCTGCGCCCGTGTCGTAGAACATGTTCGAGTCCATCCATAAGAAATACCTGTGCCCTAGAAGTGAGGAAATCGAAATTGGCGATGATTATGATATCTTAAGCTGAAGGCGTATAAATAACGTTACTTACGATGAGCCACTTCTTCCCGTCACGCGTGAATACGGGTGGTTTATCAGGCAGTGTACCAGCTCCGGGTTGCGGCAACTGTTTCATAGGGGCACCGCGTGGTGCTGCCTTGAAGGGCGCTGGTCCTTGACGCAGCTGAGGGTTCTTATGTGTCTGCATATCCGAGGTAACCTTACGCAGATCTGATGGAAAATAGGGTTAGTTACTAACTTTTGTTTTTTTTGTCAGGTAGATTATTGAAAATTATGATAACTACGATTTTTTTTGCGTAATGAATGGATTTAATATTTGTGTTCAAATGTAATATGACGTAACGCTTTTGTACCTTATCTACAAAACTGTAACGTAGCTAGCTCCCACTTAAATTTAAGCAAAAAATATTATATGTATATAATATTATTCTATTATCTGATTAACGGACTAAAAGAATATGTATATTTTTTAAACCTAGTCATTATCCTTATTGTTTTATATGAGTTTATAGGATATGCAGTTTCATATAACTACACTGACATAAAAGATAGACTTGCTACCGTTACATAGAACGTTATAGACTAAAAGAGATATTCGTTTAGTCTTGGCTTTACAGGGTGACCCACTATACATATATACAATTATTTACAGCTTGTCATTTAAAAATGTGGAAATAGAAAAATTTAAATGTGTAAGTTAGGAAAAAGGTATTAGCGATCGCCTAACTCTCTCAATGTAACTGCAGCAATAGCTGTGAAAACATTTTATTCATTTTATCAATGAATATGTTGTTATTATTTCATAATGATCTTGCTTCATTAATTCATTATTTACATATTTAACCAATGGTTTGGTTTTGTAGTTGTACGAATGTTATGTTTGATAAAATTTGAATTTAAACAAATAATAGCATTTTGAAAACTGAAATAATCCAGAACGTTTGATTTATAAATAATAATAAACATATAATTATATCCTATTAATATTACAAATGTGAAAGTTTCTTTATTTGGATGTTTGTCGGTCAATCACGCCGAAACTACTGAACGGATCTTGATGAAATTTGGTATACAGATAGGGTGTTAGCTAACTTAGATAATAGGATACTTTTTATCCCACTAAACATTTCCCTAGGGTCCACGCGGGCGAAGCCGCTGGCGAAAGCTAGTAAGAATATAAATATATTCTTTTTGATCAATTTCGCATTCACAATGCTATACAGAAAAATGAGATGGGACTCGAACCTATGACCTATCAAAATCCGAGCAACTGCTCTTGCTCGATTGCGAAAGGTCACGGGTTCGAGACCCATCTTTCAGCGACAGGGACAGTGGTTTTTTAAGCATGTTTCATTAAGAATATAAATATATTCATTGTTAAAACTGATGAAACATTTTAATAGCTATAGCTAGAGTTACAGCGATAGTTGTCGATCGCTCCTCAGATCTTAGAATGCGTGCAAAATGCTCCTCTCCGATTATCGATTGCATATAATTCAATAAAATTCTTAAGCTTTCTTAAAAATCAATACACCGTGAGCGTAAATCTAATTGAATGGATTTCATTCAATTAGATTAGGAGCTTTCATTTACTTAATCATGTGTACTTTTATCCGACGTTATAGCATGCGTTTTATGCTGATCTTTTTATTATACAACTGCGTGATTTGTATTATACATATAAACCTTTCTCTTAAATCACTCTTTATATTAATGAAAACCGCAATAAAATCCATTGTGTAGTATAAAATATATCAGTGCACAGATAACGGGAAGCGGAATATCAAAATTTAAATTATATTAGTACAGTCATTATGGGCTAATTTGATAATTTAATATTACAATCAGTGAAAATATTCAAACTCTTCTATAATTATATATTTCGCGCTTATAATGTAATATTGAACTAATGAACAAATACTAGATTTAGAGTTGTTGTCCTAAACGAAGTTATTATTTTTTTACATAGAGTAATAAAATAAGATCATGAAATTAGACTCTATTGACCTTAAATCACTAACAGGGACTGTAACCCGAGCACAAGTAACCCACAACGTTATTAATGAACCAATTATTATGTGGGTTACGGATCAGTAGCCGTATTGTACTATATCGTTGCTTTCGAACAAGAGAAAGGTACCTAGTTTATATATAGCAATATTGTCAGCCTCATTATTTTTCAAGAAATAACTTTCAACGGATTGACTTGGTTATGAACCAAAACTCTACAAAACGGAAAATCTATTAAAAATAAGTTTGTACTCCACTCAACAGTTCCTTTACACTTCTGAAGTTCAATACAAGTTAATTGAATTAGGAAACTTGTAGGTAGATTCACAAAAGGGTTACTGACTGCTAGTAATATTTTCTCCTTGGTTGATCTCGGCGAAAAGTGCACTGCGGTCGTCCAAAGTCATGTTTGAGAAGTCCACCTCAGGCAAGACAGGCGGTGGTGGGGGCATGCCACCCGGTGGAGGTGGAGGGGGGGCGCCTCCTTTACCTAAAGTTCAACAAAATGTAACTTACCAATTTAAATGGTCTATAGCTGATTTTATTGTAAAGGCCGTCGGTGTTATGTATACCTAATTGTATGGACACTTGTTGATTCTACTACGCTTTTTAGTGCTATGATTGGTAGATCATATGAACTAGATCTCTAGGCATATTTTGGTACAGTCGATGGTAAGGCAGATTACGATGAAAGGTCAAATTTCTTCAATCGATTAAAACTAAAATTTATTGCATAATTTTTGTACTTTGTACAATAATAACCTGTGTGCACCATATAAAAAATCGAAAAGATAATTATAGCGCATATAATAATTATTGAATATTAGAATTTTGAAATTAAACTTTTTAATATTGTTATCATATTTGAACAGTTTTGTATTCACAATGCTTAATATTGTGTTACACCGAGATGATATATTTATTCACTTAAAAAACGCTAACTTCTTTTCTTGTCAAAGACGAACAAATCACAAATCTTCCCAAATGACACGGGAGTGGCAGTTATAAAATTAATAATATATTAGGTGAGTGAAATGCCGTCTTCCAATCGCTGCTTACCTAGCCCGGTAAAATAGATCTATAGAGAATCACTTCCAATAATTGTTCCATATTTACTAGTTTTTATCACCAAAAACCCAAGCAAGCAAAGCTAAACCACCGAACCCATAGTAAGTGCAATGTCTCTGTGTAAAATTACAAACTGCGCGGGTATTTATGCTACATAATAATACAATATGAGAGTAAACAATAATAAAAGGATACCTTTTCAAACATCTGCCCTGCGATTCTGAAACCGAACCCGAATTCGAGTTCACTTACGTATCCGAATTCACTTCGAAAGTGACGTCCGCTTAACCTTAAATTGGTATTAACGGTTCGTGATATTAGTGAAGTGAATTTCAAAATGGCATAGGGATAGAATATCTGAAACACGAATAAGTCAATCAATCTTGTTTTGCCTTTTTATACGAAAATGGAATCAATAGAATTTCTACACTAAATAATGTGCATTCGGACACATGAGTGAATTCCAATTCGGGTGCGGATTTTAACGATATTGCTCTGCTGATAGTTAAACTAGGCAAGATTGGCAACTTGTCTTGCTTGCATAGTCTAAACGAGTAATTCCTCTGTCCGTCTACATAGATCTGTCAAATTTCTTCTCTTGATTTTAAACCTTAATCTTTTGTAAGTAAAGTTTCCAATCAACTTCAGAATTTTTTTCTTTTATTTGTTTCCAAAATAAGAGTAGTTATCAGTTAAACACTCACCAGACCAGACGAGTCCAGTGGTATGGTATTGTTTGACGTACGCCTGTAAATCAGACAATAGCTGTACCCAAGCGCGGCACCACTCCACGTGTCTCTTATCCTTCTCTTTCCAGTCCTTCAGCACACGGTTCGTGTAGAACTGGCCGGCATCGTTCATCTCTTTTACATAAGGAGCTGGAGTGGGAGCGATGGCCACCCACCCGAGCGCTGGAATACTCTCAGATATAGCGGAGAGATGATTGAAAAATGGCGATGCCCGATTTTTTTCCCTAAACTGTTGGATAGCCGAGATCTGTTCGCTTGTAGGCGCTAGCAACTGCATTTCCTCGGCCTGCGATGGCTTGCTTCGACTTGCCGCTTGTTGAATATAACGAAGCTGAGCCCTATGAATAATAATCATGTATAAATCAGAATTTTGTATGTTTTAATTTATTAATTTTAAAATAAGTAATCTATTATTATACTTACTGAAAAGCAGCGTTCACTAAGTTGGCATGAGTAGCAACATCGCCGCCAATCTTCTGGGAAAGCTCAATGTACGTCCGTAGGGGACCCTGTGTAATAAAAGAAAACTCTGTAATAATAATAAATTAAAATTTCATGAAATGGATGTTAATAGACCCATTTGGTTTATCTTTTAAAGACAAACATGTACACAATTCAGCAGGCCCATTCTGCTAATGTTAACGTGATCTATATGTCACCGGAAAATAACAAGAACCGTCAATTGATAAATTTCCTAGGAAATTTATAAATTTTCGTAGGATTCTAAACGAGAGATAAATTGTATTATTTTACGCTCACATTTTCGTAAATTTATCAATTTGCGGTTTTTGTTATTTTCCAGTGACATATATATATATAAAGAGAGATGTCCTGACATACTGACTAACAAACAACGCACAGCCTTAACCGCTGGTCGCAGAAATTTGAATTTGGAGGGTACATTTGTCTTTTTATGTTGAGTACTAAGAACGGATTTTTGGAAATTCCACTCCAAATAGGGTCAAAAAGGGCGAAAACGTTTGTATAAATATTTTTTATTATATGTGTGTATCGATTATAAAACTATTTCAATTGTGTAGTTATTTAGTATTACTTAACAGAATTCTCAACTACTGGGCTTGTTTCTTTGTTTTTAGTTTTTATTTAATTTGTTCATTTATTTTTTTTAAATTCGTTTTTACGCAGTCTTGCTTTTTGATTTTCTTTAAATTATTTATTTTTATTTTATACTTTTTTGTTACGATTCGTTGACTTCGTTATAAGATGGTAAATTTCGCAATCTAGTCATTTCATTGAGGGAGATAATATCGTTTGTTAAACAACTTTAAACCGTTATATATCCTTAACTATTGTTTAAAAGGAAAAATAAAGATGACTTTAAAATACCTATTCAACGATACCCCATTTGACATAGACCATCGATTTTTTTTTTCATTTTGACAATATGGCGTCTAGTTGTCGGTGTGGTGAATTTTGATTACTGTCATGTCTTTAGTGACACTTGCAAGGTTGAAACGAATCGATTGACGTAAGAATCATCAAAATCGGCCAACGCATTTGGTCTCTAGAACGCCACATAGAAACAAACATACATACATAGACTGATAAACACATTACCCTCCCTTGCGTCGCGTAGTCGGGTAAATAGAATTGAAACTGTTAGGAACGCGATGTAAAATACATAGTTCAAACAGTTATAAGAACTATATAGGAAAATTTTGGTGGTGGATCAAGTGCTTATCCATTTGTCATATCTGATGGTTTTACCACATCATCGAATGGATCTGAGATGTGTGAACTCTTCGCTACTTGCTTCTTATACTTCGGAAGTACATGAGAATCTAGAGCTTAATAATGAGCGCCTCTGGACTAGTAGCCACTGTTTATCAGCGCCTTTAATCGACTGTGAAATTAACAGAAGTGGCCGGCAGAATACTTCATGATAATGTAATATAATGCTAAGACTTAACATAAGCAAAATATACCAAAGATTATAAAAAATATCATCGGTACACCTTTGTTAGTTAATTTTCACCTTTGCTAGTTAATTTTCATCTTTACTAGTAAATTTTCACCTTTGCTAATAAATTTTCATCTTTGCTAGTAAATTTTCAACTTTATTAGTAAATTTTACGGGCCGGGTATATACCCGGATGGCCCATAAAATATCATATTGAAGAGATGGCATATTTTTTCCATTTTCATAAAGTGCTAATATAAATTTTTGTAAACATTTGTGAAAATAAAAAAGAATGTCTAGTTAAGAAATGTGTTAATACAGCCCTGATGCTGATATTAAATACATATAAAATGTAATATTATATAAAAAAATTTTTAAATGATGTATAACCACTGTAAAATAGTTTTGGAAATTTCACATGTAACAACAATTTAATATTTAGTACCTCCCTATCAATAATATAACATTTCTTATTGATAAAAAAATATAGTTCTAATCTCAGATAAAAGAATATAATATAGTTTTAATTTTTTAAAATGGGTGTCGAAATATAATTCAATTTTTTTCATTGTGAAAATTCTAGAAAACGTCTTATCGTCCATCTTTCCTGTTGTTTGCAAAGAATAGTATTTGCATCAAATTTCAATTTGTAAGACAGGCGACAGTAAGCCTTAATTCATTAACATATTATGAGCTTATTAACCTAAAGATCCATCAAATTGTTGTACATACGCAATTTAATTTATAAATAGAAAGAGAGATCGATATCTTTATCCCCATTCGGTATTCAAGAACATGATATTTTTACCGAAACCACAGTAACATATATTCAAGATTCGATGTAATATTCACATTCAGAATATATTTGCCATTCTACGTAATAATCGTGCGGCAAAAGTACAAGTATGTTCTCTTAGTGTGTTTCCGCCTGTCTGAATCATGTTACTCAAAGTAATAGAAGCCAAGTATCTGCATGATGGATCATGATTGCGTACCGTTTCTAAGGCGATAACATGATTAAGGCGGGAACATATTGATAAATATATATATTGGAACATGAACATATTGAATGTGTTATAAAACCTCTTTCTTTTACCTTACTTTAAAATAAGGACGATTCTAAATTCGACTGAATGTTTTATTGAACGTATACTTTACGTTACGCGATTTTCTATGTACGTAGGTATGTTCATCGATTTCTTCTTGAATTGTGATCAAATTTCTATTAAACTTGCTGTTTTCCCGCGACTTCGCGTGCATAAATTATAACCTATGTTCAACGCGTATTAAATAGATAGAGATAAAAGAATTTGAAGTCCTATAGCGGTCTTAATAAATTACCCAATTAAAATATACGAAATCATAAAACAACACCTTTCAAATATAAATAATATGTTTTTTTTAAATCAGTATATTTATAAACGTGTTCTAAAAATGCTTCCTAACATGAGAAAAAATATTAAATTATCAAAAAGTACAGCGAATATGTTTAAAGATTCGTTAGGCTTGATGATGATTATTTTTGATTAATAATTAAGAAAAAATCTTTATTCCATATTAGAGATAAGTACTTCTCCACATTTGTTACTTTCATTTATATCTAACAATTTTGTTATTCTTTAATTCCATGTTCAATGAAACATATGGCCTTCAGTAATTTATCAAACCTTTTTTAATATAATGATACATTTTGGTTTCGTACATATTCTGAATTTCTATAACGAGATGAATACGAAAAATATAGATATATAACCTGATTACATACAAGAGGGCTTTAGTTATAAAAATCATTAAATATGCGAAATATTTTTCAGTCATTTTGTCGTCATTAGATAATGTCTGAAATATTCTTTGGAATATAATTTATAACTATAAACAACTATTATATGATATGAAAGTATTAAAATACCTAAATTGATAATAATAGAGATTTTATATCAAAACACAGTAGAATACTGAAACTTGTGGGTTATCTACATCAAAGATTGGGTTCAAAATTATTATTTATGTTATGTAAAAGTAAATATTACTTTGTTACGAAAGTTATGTAATTTAATTTTCTAAGAAAAATAGAAGTTGAGTTTGTCAAACAAACTCCAAGGATTCGCCATGAGTTAACCTGACAACGTTGAAACTTTTTGTCGAAAGTGAGAAGTTTTAAAGCCTCAAAATGAGAACAACTACTACGGTATGTGTCACTTTATAGTTTCTATGAAGTGGACGGTCACGTTGGCACTAGGGGTATAGTGCCAACGTGAAACCCGGGATCCCGGCCCTTTCACAGTCCCGAAATCTTCGGTACTAAATTCCTTAAACCCCGGGATTTTTGGGATAAAAAATAAAGTTTATTTAAAAAAAAATTACCTACTAACTTATCGAGTAATCAATACCAAATAAAAGTCAACCATTTTGATTTGTTGAAGTATAGAAAGTTAATATTATTACTATAAGTAAGAGAAATTAGTCTAACTAATTAAAATTTGTAATGATAAACATGACTGATTGATATTTTAAGAAATAGTACTGATTAATGACACCTATATTAAAGAAATGTAACAGGTTTATTATTATAGTGACGCAAATGCAAAGCAAACGAGACTGACTGATTTAGAAATAGAAATGAAACTGATTAATAATTAACTCTGTGATAAGTACCTACCTACTAAGTATTTGTCTTAATGTGAAACTTACCTTGTGTTACACAAATTGTTTTTTTATATTATAATTTCTTTGCTTTTTGTTTAGAAGAGAAAATCCTTTCTTTAGATTTTTTCTATTTCTACAGAAATATTAAATAATAAAAATAAAAGTTGATTTTGCATATTTTCGCATTTTTGTTTGCTACCTTCAAATCCCGGGATCCCGGGCTTGTATTTGCCCAGTACCGGAACTCCGGGATTGTAAAAATGGCCCGGTATTATTTATATCCCCTAGTTGGCACATAATAAGTACATATCAATACTGTTGTTTCTCAGACCATTGGTGGCATTCTATGATTGTATTCGATGATTAGGAGTAGCTAGGTGGCGTAATAATGTTGTTGTTAAGCAACTTTCGCAAGGGTCGGTCACGGGATGGATGATCAAAAAATAATTATCTCTAGCTACCGTGTGTCGGAAGGCACGTTAAGCTGTTGATCCCGTCTGCATTTGCTCTCCAATCCACATTGGGCCAGGGTGGAGGGTCATAACCCATCATCCATAACCTGAGCCCATATTCTTTTGAGATGGAAAAGGGCTGATGCAGATTCGATAATAATCCATCAAGTTTTAACTAGTTTACAGAAACATGTTGACATGTATATTTACATAAATAAAATGTTTTTTCAAGAGTAAGTAAGACCTAACAGATGTAACGTCATCGGAACTGTAGTTTTGCTTTAGATTCATCATCATTTTTTCCTACCACTCTTTTGGCTGACAATAATAACAAGCGAAAGACCTTTAATAAATCTTTTTTTGTAAAAAGTTTGTGTCTTATATATCTTAACAGTGTGTGTCCTGTCTAATGTTATAAAAAGAAATGATTTGACTGAATATGCTCGAAAACTACAGGACAGACTTTTTAAATTCTGTCAGATACGGAGAGCTATATATCATAGATGGCTAGAACTTACGCGGGCAAAATCGCGGAAAAACACCAATAGGTGTGTAGACAACTTTTTTATACTTATAGGAAATATATCTAAAAAATATTTATAAAAGTATCATTCAAATAATAAGCTAAAATTAGTTTCAAAATTAGTTTCTATGACGTCACGTCCCCTTGAAATAATATCGTTCTTATATGTTTGATTCTTTAAGTTCTGATACAAAAGGTAATAAGAATGGTATAATTGTAAGAGGGGCGTGACGTTACGCGCTGTTTGCGGTCATGTGACGAGTATAAAATTTTTGTGTTTTCATAATTAATTTAAGCAATATTATAAATAAATACAAAAGTGTGATTATCGGTAATAGTATATTAAACGCTACCAGAAAAAAAAAGTATTTAATTTCGTTTACTGTCTGTAAACAAATTATATGATCTCTGATAAAAATATTTAAATTATAGAAACAACAAAAATATCTAAGATTATCTAATGCCCTCGCAAGTACCTGCAAAGTTGTAAGAGAAGACACTAGATTATTTATGAAATATGTCTTCCACTTGACTCCTTTAACTTAACATGACTTCAGTAAACTTTCTTACCTTCTGAGAGTTGCTTGTTTAAGCAGAGCTAGACTTAGAATAACTGAGTTTAAATTAAATACATTAAGGCACCACTATTAAAGCCCTAGTATGTCTATAATATATTCTTATCAGTTTTGATGTCTTTTATAATTTTTTATCTTAGCTTAAATAGAGAAATATTATATTATATTCATGAAATTAAACAATAACATCACTGCTAATATTTTCAAGAGGAAATATTTCAATGTCTGTTTGCATCGAATAGGCTTAAGAGCCTATTCGAGCCTATTCGGGATAAGACCCGACCGAACCAATTTTAAATATTATTTATCTACTATACACCTAACGCATAGGCGGGTAACATAGACTATAAATTAGGACGACGAACATGCGAAAAAAAAATGCTAAATGGTTTTATCGTGGGTATTTTCGAAAAACTAACATTTTCAGACGTTTTGAATCCTTTATATATTTATGATTGATTATGAACATAGCAACAGATACGAAATAATATAATTAACCATTTGTATAGTTACTTTGCCAAGTAATATTGTTAAACGTTGATGATACAAACAATGTATAGAGATGAATAAGAAGTGCGTTACGAAGATCCATGTTATATTCATACGAGTAGCACCTACCTATAAATACGTAAGTAGGTTGGTTCGGCCGTATTACTTATTTCGTTAGAATACATCGTAAAAACAGCAATAAAAAACGTATTTATAAGCTAACACGGTGGCTTTTCTAGCTAGGTTTGATCGAATGATGGCGTTATTATCATAAGCTATAAATTTAGATATTACAAGTAAAATGTTTAATAGTATTTACATTGCTGCTTTTGCACGACTTTACCCGCGTAAAGTGTAGATTATGTCACCCACGTATGCTTTATGTAGGTGAAAGAATTTTCATAATCGGATTCAAAGATTACACGGACGAATATTTATATGCAAAAATGCTTAAATAAATCACCAGTTTCAAGTACACCGGAGTGAGATACTATCTGTTATGAAAGCCGTTCTACGTAAATCCTACTCAAGGTTTCCGAGCTTTGATCTGTCAGGCTGACAAAGCAGCTGTTAGGGTTTCATTTACAGAATGGAAGAATCCAAAATAAGGTTTGACAGAATTAAAACTAAATTTAGTCTAGTTTGTGTAACAGAATTACTACCATTATTGAAATTTGAAACCCTATTGACAAACATAATACCAGAGTTTAGACCTCGGTAAGAAGTTCTCGTACGCATTTCTTTCCATTTACGATTATATTATATTGTATTCAAGATTTTTTATTATTTTCTTTTATAACATATTATCAATTAAAATCACTATTTGCAACGTAAATTACTCGCAAATACTAATCACATCTATTCGTATAGTTGATAATTGACGGTTATGTGTACTGGCTTACTGAACCCTTTTGATGTCGAGACAGATACGGAAATTTACCGTTAGAACACTTCCTGAGAATACGCCTGGCTATTGCTCGTCTTATCGGCCTTTAATTTGACTTAAATGATTTCGGGTTTTCCTTTTTGCCTGCACACAGAATAAATAACAAAGGCATTTTAATCTAACAAAGCACCATTAAACCTTCTAAAAGAATAATTAAATCGTGAACTAACATTAATTGAGGTTTTGAATTAAACAAGTTTCCATTGGGGATTTCGCTGACTGGATTTAGCGAAAATCCCTTACGGACTTGTAATCCCCTGGGAGCCTTTTTGCGGTACAAAAAGTATCCTATATCTCATTGCGTATCTCAAAATTTGTTACCTTCCGTTCAAATCCGTTCAGCAGATTCAGCATGATTATGTTACAAAGAACACCCTTAAAGCACTTTGCCATTTATAATAGTAGCATTTAATAGTTTAATAGTAATATTCGAAGATGGTAAACTTTTTGCCCAGGAACTCTATCGTGATAGACCTTCCATGTTTTATATAAAAAAATCATAGCTAAATAATAATAAAACATTATCAACTTATTTTTTAAATATAAGCTTTTAATAGATTTATTTGAGACAATTTAGACAATATTTATATACAATCTAGCAATCTTTTACATTTCATTTATCACTAGGAGTTCCGTGGACAAGAGTGTGTAATTTCTGATTAATATAACTTCAGAAAAATAGAAAACAATCAAAGAAAGGAAAGAAATGTATGTCAGAAATATTAAATGATTAAGTGGCTTTTGAAATAAGTAACTATAGTTATTTTCAATAATTGTAATTAACAGGCTTTAACCAGTGCTCCCTACTAGCTTAGATACATCTAAAAAGCAAATTTTTCTATTGCCAGCATTCCCACCAAGCAAATCATAAATTTGTATGATAAACCTCATGTAATAATCGATTCATTGATAAAGTTATACAAATTGAAAATGCGTTCGGTATTTTTTGAGTTTATTACGATCAGAGTATCTACTTCCCGACTGAAACCCCAACCAGAATTGGTCTAGAATTGGACAGTCCAATTCTGCTAAGTCAGCTGACAGTTGGCCTTTCAACCTTTTTTTTTGACGCTGGTAAAAGCGTTATGCACGCTCCCCCGTAGCGCGGGGTCGGCTTATGGGTTTATGTGGGACCCGCCCCAAAACGGAGCTAGTCAAATAGCAGGGGCATATCCACTAAAACCTAGCGCTGTCCCTTTCCATGGAGGAGATGCAAGGAGACAGCCCGAAAACTACTCCCCGGGCCGTTCGCCCCCATTTCGGCCCACCTTTTGCGGAGCAGGTCCGTCTCCGGGTGTAGGGTACATCTCAGAGATAAGACATACCTCCCAGACAGGGCAAGGGCGTGCAATAACAAGACAGCGGGACTTTTACTCGTATATATGTGTGTAAGTAATGCAAAAGAAACATGATTCACACTCAGTGGTGAAATCAATTGACATTTAAACTTACAAATTATTACTTAAAAGTATTTTTATCATGATAAAAATCTTTCGTTTCCTTTACATACTTTGTTATGTCATACAAATGAATCACCACGACAGGTCAAATATATTGTATTTCTAGTACAAATGATTATGATTCATGTGCTGCCACGCCTTATTTATGACTAGCTTAATCTAAATTATGTTATTTATGAGACCTTTGCAAAACTTTTTGTTATATTTATTTCCATCCTTATGCGTATAAAAATTTAAAATATTACCTGTAATAGGTCTTGATAGCCGTTGACACTCATACTGTCTGACTCGACTAGCTCTGGTAGCGTTGGGGGTAGTGAGGTAGGTGCTGACGCAAGCGACGGCTCTGGCGTGCTCGGCTGAACAGGACTGTGCGCACGCAACAATGGCAGCCTCTCCAATCGCGAGGTGACTTTCTCTAAACGCTCGATCAGAGCTTCTAGCTCTGCCGCCGGGCTGCTTGTAGTGGCACCCGGTTCAGCTTCGTTGGCTATCAACAAACGTTATTATCAATACCGGAACAGTAGTTAAAAAACACAAACTTAACTTTTCAAGCAAAGTTAGGACTTGACAAAACTTTTAATTTTTTTTTGTTTATGCCAATAAAAAAGAACAATAAATGGCATTTTGCGACAGTCTCACATCGATATTTTTTATTGTACTTTGGAACTACCGTACTACTATACAATTTTTGTTAAGCTGTGAAGTCCTTGAGAATAGTTATGATTTTTTGTGGGTAATTTAGTATAACCTTGTTATAGTGCGCTGTGGTTAACATGTCCTTGAGAAAGAAAAACTTGAAATCAAAATTATAAAATGTATCTTATTAATTTTATAGTTTTGAAAGCTCAGTAATTTAATAGCAATGTATTATTTTAATATTGTTATTTTTTTTTCTCAAGTGAAAAATCTTTATTTTTGGGAACTTTAATTTAATTAAAGGCTGTTATATAGCTATGCACTTCAATATTTACTGATCTTAGTTGTAGTACATAAATTTAGTTTTGTTGGACTACCTTACAGTTACAAATTCGGTATTTCAAATTATAGAAACATAAAACTAAATCGAGCCTTTCATAAGTACTTCTCCGCCCGCACACTTTTCATAAAAAGTCGTCTAAGTTTTGGACCCAATATAAGTATTGATAAGACAAATATGTAATTAAAATTATCATTAGTTTAGGGAGATAACTAACAAGATTTACTATATCACTGAATATCTGAGAAATTTTACCACTACATTCGTCGTCATTATTTAGGTCTGCTACATCTAGCGCACTTTCCAACTCCATCAGGTTTGTTCGTGCTTCAAAGATCTTTATAAGATGTCTCGTATTACGTATCTCATTAGACTCCATTGCGTCACAAATTACTATCACTATTCTCTTAAACTAAAATCCTTAATAAATAAAAACAGTGCACTTGTTCCTAACAATCCTAGTAATAAACTGATTGGATTTATATTATCAGTTTTGTAACGAAAGATAATGTGATAAGAAATCTTTGAGCGAGTCACCATTCAAAGTTAGATAAAACTTCCTCTAAAGACTAACAACTATTAATATATATTTAAAGAATAAAAAATAAGTGATTCGATAAAAACGAGTTATCAAATGTAACGGAACAATAATTTCTCTTGTTTAATATAGGATATAAACCTATAAAGTCGATGAAGCGTACAACATCATTAGTGTGTGCTGTATTGAACGTAAAAGGAATATCTATTGTAAAAGGAAATTTTGAGTTCTACACAACTTTAGAGGACAGCTAAAGTAAATCATTAATATAACAATTAATTGTGAATAAAGCAAATATAGTCCATATAAATGGTACTCGTAATTTAAGGCTGCGACTAAACGCAAAGAGAAAGCGAGACAACAAGATGTTAGTCGGTGTGATAACGGTAGAGTATTACGCGAACCAGAACATTATATAAACAGTATGAACTTCACAAATCCGTTAAAATTATCGCAAATCTTTTCTACCCCAACCCTCGATTTCAAAGAAGCTTGCTCAGTTTCATCTATTATAAAAGAAAGGAAATTTACTAAATAGCAAATTATTACGTAATTTTGAATTGTTTCTTACTTTAGAGAAAATATCATAAATCCACATATTGTTCCTATTAAAAATTATCATTTGAAATTAATGTAGTTATTTTAAAAGACGCTATCACCCATCTCTTTCTGTCTCATTGCCAGGTAAGATACGGAACTCGAGGACATATGTTTTCAATATTAGGTGCACTCTTAATTAACAAAGACATCCATCAATTACAAATGATATTTTTATGTAAAGATAATAAGAAGTTTTTAATAACTCTTATCTACTGCTTTTATTTATACGCAGATATGAAAAACAATAACCATATCAACTACCTCCGGTTACAGGTCAGACAGTTTTGTAAAAGTTGATGTGATGTTGATTGTAAAACATTTATATGAGGAGGCAAAAATTTCATTAAATATCTTGACATAGGTAATAAATCGGTTAATATAATTGACAATTAATATTTTAAATTAGGAAACGTATGCTATATGGGAAAAATTACAACAACACACTACTTTTTAAATGATATTACGATACAATTTCACAAAATTACTCTTTACGTAGTTACAGTGAGATTTATATAAAATTAGTTAATAATATTCTTCATCACATGAATCTATATCCGATACGAAGTCATCACAATCACATGAATCGATTTATTCGAGATAGCGGAAGGCAGACTCCGTATAAAGATAAAATTATCAACTTTACAATATACATTATACATAATTTTAAAATAGTCAATCGTAAACACATCGTAAACAATTGATTACATTACTTATTAATTCGAGAAAGATAAAAATAACTTGTTTTTAAACAAATAAAGTCAACTGTTTAATGTCAGTCATAAACTCAAAGAGCCAGCAACTTGATGAGTGTCGAGATTAATGGCGTAATCATCTCAATTCCTTCCACTGCTTCAGTCAAGGGAACTGAAAATGACCTCTTTTCAATGATGTTCGCACCTAATGTAAAGATTTTCAAACAAAATGTTATTTTTAATTATATTGATTAACGAAGCTTTTAATAAACAGATAATTAAAGATGGTTTCGTATTTATTTTATTAGAATTGACAACAGCACGTCAGATTATACAAATCTGTCATCTACAATATTACTTATCTCAGCTAAGGAAAATTGATAAACTCGTGTTGTGGTGAGTTGGCGTGCCGCTCTGTGTAAATTTCACATAATCTATACTAATATTATAAAGCTGAAGAGTTTGTTTGTTTGTTTATTTGTTTGAACGCGCTAATCTCAGGAACTTCCGGTTCGCATTGAAAAAAATTTTTTTGGGTTGAATAGACCATTTATTGAGGAAGGTTTTAGGCTATATCACGCTGCAACTATTAGGAGCGAAGAAATAATGGAAAACGCAGACGAAGTCGCTGGCGGCCACTAGTTTCACATAAAAAAGCTGTCGCGTAGACCTATATCCAAATACATCTGATTGTCATCGGATTGAATCAAATGCACTCCAAGATGAATACTTTAAAATTCAACGATCAGTAGGTATTTATTTTACACGCAATTGTATTATTATTTAAGTGAAACTGATTCAGTTTGTACCAGAGGATTCACAGGTAACGATATCAACAAATAAAGTCAATTTATTATAAAATCTACCTTTGGTTGACCGACGACTATTCTCGCTATCACTTTTACTAGATTACGAATTCGTTTCTCTTCAATTTTGCCTTTTCCGCTAAGCTATGCTTTACTAATATCAATTTATATGAGAAGTTCATATTAATATTTGGATATAACTTTTAATAAAACCATTTGATACAATCATATCTACGTCTATCGATACAAAATCATCAAAATTTTCTATTCAAATAAAATTTGGAACAAATATCAGAACATATATTGTTCCGAACGATTACAAGTTTCTTGAGTTAATTAACCACCTTTCATTAAAATGACATATAATTGATAAAGTTAAATGTTATTTTTTATCAAAAGAGATTTGAAAATTGGTTCAAAAATTAAGCGGTATCACCTACCCTGGTATCAGGCAACCAAAACTATGCCAGATATACTCCAAAGATTTTTTTGTATTGTTCACTAGATTTTTAAAAGATAAAAGTGATGTTCATGGTCCCTAGAGAAATGTCTAGTGGGATTAAAAGTATCCTATTATCTAAGTCAGATAATATCTGTGTACCAAATTTTATCAAAATCCGTTCTCTAGTTTCGGCGTGATTAACGGACAAACATCCAAACAAAGAAACTTTCACATATATAATATAAATATTTATTATTTATGAATTAGTAACAAAGAACTGCGTCATAAAGGTTTGTTATTGGAAAGCCATTGACTTTCCATAATTACGCTAACATTAGCTAAACAGAATTGGACAGACTAGAAAAAATGTTTACCTACCGCACATCATACGCGTGGGATATAAGCGATAAATATAATTTACGCGGGTTAAATCGCGGCAAAAATTAGAACATATAGTTCTAAGTTTAATATAAATCACGTATCTCTCGTAAACAAGCTAGAATAAATCCTCTAACATCGGTCGGGGAACGCTATAAAAGCTGAAAACCCTATAAAATTATTTCGCTTCGGCGGAGCACTAAAAACAACTTAATTTATAAAGGCTGCTAGGTTGCGATATATACACGTAGTGCTACGCTATCAAATAACGCCATGTTTAACATTTATAATACACCGGTCTGTATGTTGGTACGTACCTACATCAAAGGGTCAAGTACAAAAGTCAGTTGAATGTTAAAGAGGTGGCAAAAATAAAAAAATAAGGGAAGGAGTTAGTATATTATATATCTATTTTAATTATTTGGACCCGTGAATTTATAAAATTATTGTTATATTTAAAACACAACGATATTCAGTTATTTCTCTTGCTTATTACGAATTTTTATTGTGAAAATTTGTAAATTCATTTACAATAACTGTAATCATACTGTATTTTTCATGCTTTATTTCATAAAATACGTCATCATCCGTTTCTATGCTTCGTTGTGTGGACCACAGAAATATAAAAAAATTGTGTGAACCACAGAAATACGAGTATAAAAAACATTTCTGTGGTCTAGACTCGTATGTTTCGTCTTGTGTTCTCTTCATCTTTATGTTCACTTTTAAATTTACAATACAAACAGCAATATATTAAGTTATAAAAATCAGCATATTTTCCCGACTGCTAGAGGACAAACCTTTCCTGTGGATAGAACGGAATCGAATTGAATATGCGAAATAGCACTACGATTTCGTAAAAATCCGAACCCGAATTCACTCAGGTAAGAGAATTCTCAGTACAAATCGGTGGTACTAACGAATGTAAGTCATATTTTTTTCCTACTGAATACGGCGTATTTTGAAATATTAGAATAATAAAATCCACTTGGAAACTCAATTTGACTTTACAAATTTTATATGAAAAGTCCGACTTGAATATAATCCGATAAAAG